TATACAGTAGATATCGGAAGTTCTTTCCCCGATGATAAATCGACCGGAGCGTGAAGCTGACCAATTACCTCCATCTATTGCCGAGGTAAAGAATATATGGAGTTTTACCTCCAGGCAATCTTAAAATCATGTAGTTTTTTTACCGGTCCAGTGCTTGCGGGGTCGTGAAGCTGACATTTGCCTCCATCAGTTCCTGAGATTGACGGTGTGTGGAGATATACCTTCATCACCATACGCCCTCATGGTCTGGTACTTAACGAGGGAAGGGACAACTTTGCTTGGTATCAAATTAGTTCAGTTTTGGTTTGTTTTAAATTCGAAGAGCCGGAGTAACTCTCTAATGAAGGTAGCGGGAAGATGAATAGGCTGTTCTGTTATGCGTCTCTATGTGTCGCTCTGCATAATTAAGGAGATCTCATTAGAGAAGAGAGTCGACTTACGTGAGTAAGCGCCTTATTATTATTCATGCTCACTTTGTAATTGGCCTTGAGTTGTTAAGTTAGCATGTAAATAAATAAGAATTGAATTGTTATTATTGTTATTACTATCATTACTGTTATTGGAGAACGCGGTAGGTCGCGGGTTCGATTTCCAATGAGGTCATTGGATTTTTCAATTGATCTAATCCTTCCAGCGACACTATGGCCCTGGGATCTACTCAGCTTCTAACATAAATGAGTACCAGGAATCTTCTGTGGGTAAAGGGCGGCCGGAGCGTAAGGCTGAGAGCCTTACCGCAATCTGTGAGCCGATTGGCTAGAAAATGTTGGAGCCTCGACTGTCTTTTACAGGGATAGCTTTGTTACTGTGCTCCTGTTACTCCATGGGAGATGTTTGATGTCAGAATTACTTCTTTTTTTTTCCTTACCATCGAAGCTTGTGATTAATTCTTGCGAAAATAACAACAATGTGTGTCCAGAAACAGATTGTTTGATTATTGCACTGTGTTTTTATCACAATTTATCGCTTTTATTACGTTAAATTAATACGGTTAACTGTTGAAATTCCCGTTGAAAGTTCTACGAAAAATATTCACAGTTTCTACTTCTGGCTACGGTTCCGACAGATAAGCCTCCCACTGATCCCTCCCTTACACGTTACAGCCCTTGTGGGACACAGAAATCACTGTTTCACTGAATATGCGCGCTGTGAGCGGGTTGGTGTAGCTGTAACTGTATTTGCGAAGAGCTCGATTCGAGACCCCATCCCAGACCCACTACTTCTCAGAAAATCTGGTAGCGCCGGGAATCGAACCCGGTATCTCAGGATCTGTAGCCAGGAATTCTGGCCACTAGACCATGGAGCTGGGCCCTTCTTGAGAATCCAAGAGCCACTGAGGTACTCAAGAATTTAACAATTTTAATGAAAGCTGAAGGTTCATTATCGTGTTCACAAAAGTCTGCCACTGGTTCCTATCCTGAGCCAGATGAATTCAGTCCGTAACACCACATCCTGTTTCTCTATGATCGGTTTTTTTAATGATGTCCTCCAACCTACATCCAGGTGTTCCTAATGGTCTCCTTCCCTCTGACTTTCCCACCAGAACCCTATATCCATTCCATCCTCAGATCTCCAGCCTCTTATTTCATCCCTCTAAGGTCCACATAGCCACTTCAGCACCCTGTTCGCAGACATCCTTATTCTGCGTTATTTCCTTAATATCTGAGACCAAGTTTCATACCAATACAAAACTACAGGCAAATTTATAGTTTTGTATCCTTTAATTATATTAGGATCATGAAGTGAAGGTGGATGAGATGGCCGGGACATGTAGCACGAATTGGGCCACTGATCGTACACAATTTTTAATCATGAAACATAGTAGGAAGATGTTATTTGGGAAACACCGATACGGGAATGTGGATGTGATGGGATAAATTGGGTTGAACTGGCACAGGATTATAGCCCAGGATCGGCCTCTTGTAGACTCCGTAATAAACCTTCACTTGGAAATTTCTTGACTGGCTAAGCGATTGTCACCTTCTCAAGAAGGAATCTACATCATATAGTTAAGTAGTGCGTCATGGCGCTCTGTATCCTATTATAAGAGTCATGTAGCGGTGTACCTGTTTAATGAAGCAAGTATATCGCCCGGAAAATGGAGTGGTTTCGCTGTAAAACAGATGTCGGGAGACAGAGCTTCAGAATTCAGTTAACACGTATCAACCTAACTTTCTCGAAGGATGTGAAACTCTTGGCTTCCTCTGTATTTGTTTCAGAGTTAACGCGCCGTGTATGTATCTGCCGAGATAATGAATTGAATGCAGAGACTGTAGTTGCTAGTATCTGTGAACCTCAACAGCGAACATTCCTCACTGTGTAAATATAACAACGTTTTTAAACCTTCGGTGCGCGAAATGGATCGAAGTCGTGCTTAAAAATTCATTTCGTACCTCAGAGGAAACACCGCGTCGCCATAGGAACGACCGATTGGTTAATGCTGTTAAGGGAAATAATGGCTTGTTTAGTGTGAAAATCACACGATACACGTAAATACCCGTGACAAGTGTCTCGGGTGGTTAGTCGCTGGCTTCCCACCGCGGCGGCCGGGGTTTGATTCCAGGTCAGTTAATGTGGGATTTGTGGTGGATGTAGTGACATTGGGGCAGGTTTTCTCATGCTACTTGGGTTTCCACGTTCACTGGTCGCCGCTTTGTATTCTCGATACTGGTAGCGTCCTCAAATATCAACTAAAAAAGAAAAAGAAACACACCCTGTGAGTGAAATATATGTAGCTTTAAGCATACTTTTTGGTTTTGAAGAAATTAAAGTATGCTTATGCGATGTGTGTGTCTCACTTATTAACTTTTGAATGGCTGAACCAGTCCCTGTGATAATTGGTATGTATATCATGACACCTGAGCCCATCCCAATAGCGTACTTCATAAATCCCTCCCATCAGTCTGTGTGTCTACACGTGTATTCCCATATCGTTTACTAGGCAACGGCACGGTAAAAGACGTTACCGCAGCAAGGAATACACATGCAACAAAAAAAAATAATTGTTGGACACGTCGTTTTCTATGCCGTACATTTCATGTCAGTGGTAAGAATGCTATTAGTTCTTCCCGGAACTTCTTGCATAATGTCAAACCCGGTAGTACTGTAGAGTAAACAGTGTGCTTTAATATGGGTATGTGCCTAATCAAGATATTATTATTATTATTTGGATGTTGCACTATGCTACAAGCCGGAAGGTCGCGGGTTCAAGTCCCGATGAGGTCATTGGATTTTTTCGATTGACCTAATCCTTCCGACAGCACTATGGCCCTGGGGTCGACTCAGCCTCTAAAAGAAATGAGTACCAGGAATTAAATAATTTTCCTGGGGAGTAAAGTGTGGCCGGCGCGTAAGGCTGACAACCTTACCGCCATCTGTGAGCCGATTGTCTAGATAATGTGGGACCCTCAATGTCTCACAACCCTATGGGCCTTCACGGCCTGTTGCAGGGATAGCTTTACTTTACTTTTTTTTATTTGGATGTTGTGTTAGCACATAAATAAGTAAGAAGTAATTGTTATGATTATGAACTTCTATGTGTGTTTGTACGTATACTTGTATTGTCCTTTCTCTCCGCATAGTGGCATAACCATCGGAAATGTATTTATTTTGTTTTTGTCCCTTGTTAATGCTAACTTAATCTTTCTTGGAAGTGTTATTAATATATTGTCATTATATAGACTGTCTTATTTTGTATTTTGTGTTTTAGTTATTTCTGTGTCTTACTGCGTACTCGTGCTAACTTTCTAATTGGCCTTTGTGCTGTTAAGTTTGCACGTAAATAAACAGGAATTGAATTATTATTATTATTATTATTATTGTTAGTATTATTAGTATCATTATGGTCTTCTGGGATGTGATGCAGTGTAATTTGGTAGTAAGGTACCATCATTTTGGAGAAGTCTGCTGCTTGCATGTTCCATGTTGACAGTGGAAGTAACAGGTTTCTGTGGAATGTTCATATCGTTCTACCAAGCTACAAACCATGCTTATATCTTGTAGTAGTTGCTGATATAAACAGAAGCATAAGGTATGCTTAAATCCAGTATTGCAGTGTCTTTTTTTTCAATGGCTCTACAGCCCCAGTGGGCCTAGGCCTACCTCCATGAACTCCGTTCACTTCGGTTTTTCTAGATCTTACACATACGGTAGGACTCCTTGGGCGGGTGATCAGCTCGTCGCAAGGCCTCTACCTGTAGACAAACACAAAAAAACGCACACAAATATCCATGCCCTGAGTGGGATTCGAACCCACGATCCCGGCTTCCGAGCGAGCGAAGACAGTGCATGCCTTAGACCGCTCGGCTACCGTGACCGGCAGTGTATAAGAATAATATATAAGAATTCAGTGCGTACCTCACAGGAAACAGATCCGAACCCACGATCCCGGCTTCCGAGCGAGCGAAGACAGTGCATGCCTTAGACCGCTCGGCTACCGTGACCGGCAATGTGTAAGAATAATATATAAGAATTCAGTGCGTACCTCACAGGAAACAGATCCGAACCCACGATCCCGGCTTCCGAGGGTGCGAAGACAGTGTATGCCTTAGACCGCTCGGCTACCGTGACCGGCAATGTGTAAGAATAATATATAAGAATTCAGTGTGTACCTCACAGGAAACAGATCCGAACCCACGATCCCGGCTTCTAAGCGAGTGAAGACAGTGCATGCCTTAGACCGCTCGGCTACCGTGACCGGCATTGCAGTGTCTTACTTTTGCTAAATACATATCTTAACATACCTCTAGATAGCAGCAGTGCTAAATGTATGCTGTGATTGTGTCAAATTTTGTATCTTAGTATTTTCAACATTACTGAGATAGTTTCTATGAGCTTTTTATAGGAAAATAATATTGCACATGCACAGATGTTGTTTTCTCAGTCGATTTTATGCTCTAAATTCACTAATGATGTTTATAACAACAATTTTCTGTTGAAATTTCAACATGTTTTGTGCTGGATAGTGGTTTCTGACCTGTGTGTTTGAATTACCATTTCAGAAGCATGGGCCCAGGATGAAGTGCTCAGCCTGCAAGATCATTGCACATACCAGCTGCATTAATGTCCTGATGGAAAGGACAAAATTTTATTGTAAGGCAACATTCAGGGATGTGGGAGTGCGGCAGTATCGAGAGCAGACATGTATACATCACCACTGGGTACATCGACGCTCGCAAAAGGGCAAATGCAAACAGTGTGGCAAGGTAAGAGGTGTTCAGGAACAAGGTCTGAGAGTGTGTCATGTATCTATTCAGTACTTCATATCCGTGAACTATAGTCCACAAGCGAACTATACCGACCGAGCGACCGCCGCTTGTCGGCGAAGTTAGTGTGAACTTTAGCGGATAGAGGGTGTCGCGTGGTCAGCGCAACGAATCCCCACGGCCGTTAATCTCGGTTTTCTAGACCGGAGCCGTTATTTCCTCGAAATAGCACCTCAGTTATCCTCACGAGGCTGAATGGACCCCGTTCCACACACACACTCCTTCTCAGAAAATTGTGGTAGCGCCGGGAATCGAACCCAGGACCTCTGGATCTGTAGGCAGTAACTCTGACCACTAGACCACAGAGGCGGTCTTAGTACTTCAATTAGTACAATAGGCCAAAAGTGGCCGCAGTACAAGGGACTTAGTCCCACCCCACTAGCAGTAGTAGTACTTCAACACAGATGTCAAATAGAATCAGGAATGGGGGCTGCCTTCATCCGAGATGTGATATGTAGGCATTCAGTTGTGCTTTGGAGTCTGCTGTTGTGATTTTCAGGGTAGAAGAGCAAACCGCATGAAAATGAACAATCAGTGAAATGGGAGAGAGGGGGATTTGGGCAAAGATTGAACCAGTGTGGGTTGGACCCTGATGAGTTACTGTAAAAAGCAGAACTTGTAGGTTGCAAGAGGCTAAGAGCAAGGCCGTGGGAGAGGTGTAAACTGAATGGGACACCAAGAACCCAAAGAAGGACTACACTTTAAACAGTAAGGGGCTAAGAGCTAATCAGCTGGGGCAGTGTAAAATGAATTGGAATCTGAAAAGGGATGGACTTGTCGATAAGGAGAGACTAAGCGAGAACTCGTGGGAGTGGTACAAACTGAATGAGATCCCATCGCGCTGAAAAGGTATGTATAGGCAGGAAGAGGTTAAAGAAAAAGGCTATTCCTGTAACAGGCCATGGAGGCCCATTGGGTTGTGAGACGTCGAGACTCCCGCAGTTTTTATACATTCGGCTCACAGATGGCGGTGAGATTGTCAGCCATACGCGCCCGCCGCGCTTTAACCCCCAGGATGATTAATGGTACTCATTTCTGTTAGAGGCTGAGTCGACTCCAAGGTCATAGTGAGGCTGGAAGGATTAGATCTTGTGTATCATTTTGTACATTTTTAAGAGTTGTTGAGTTGTAATGTTTTAGATGGTTTGAACTGACATGTCCAATTGTACCTGTGTAACAGTTTATGGATGTAAATGAATTATGAATTGAAAAATCCAGTGAAATCGAATCCGCGATCATCAGTCTTGTAACATAGTGCCTCAACCAACTACGCTACCGTGTACCCTTAGGCAGGAAGAGGTAAACAGTAAACTGCGTAGAGGATAAAGAAAGTAAAGAGACAGTACATAAAATAAAAATAAAGTTAAATTAGGGAGTAAAAAGGTTGTGGGTAGACAGAATTAAAATTAAAATTTGTTCCTCTTAAATCTTCTCTTTACTCTCCCTTCCCTATCTTACCACGTACTCTTCTCCACTTTGCTGACTCTTCTGCCTTAAGAATGGAGGAAGCAGATTCCTCTGAAATATTTAATATCTGTCAGAATACATGGCTTCACGTCCAAGGAGACGGTAATTTTCTTAGACGGCCCTGTAAGAGCCCCCGCCGTCTCAGAACAAGGAACAATGAGCTGATCCTCCCTTTCCTTACATAATTGCTGGAGCAGTTGAGCCAGCAGTATTCAGAGACTGTCATAAGGCTTAAGCATTACAATGTAGCTGTCACAGAATTCTAACTCTAGGACCAAACAGGTTGATCCAACAGAACGCTCTAGACTTATATCTGTGTGGTTCTGGCTTTGAATCTCACCCAAGATACTGGCTGTTTTGACTGAGGTTTCCCATGGTTTTCCTTAGCCCTTCCAGGAAAATTTCAGGGTAGTAACAAAATTAGGTCATGATCATTTCCTTGAAAATCCTTTTCACTTCATACCATTCGATGCTATACGGCCTGGATACTGACACCACCATAAAATAAGTCATGGAGAAGACTAACACCATAAAGTAAAATCCTTCTTGAGCCTCTTAATAGTCACATCACAGTACCTTAATGCAGAGTAAAGCAGCTAGGACATGAGGCTGACCATTTATTTACATCAAGTGCTGAGGTTAGGAATGCATGGAGCTTTACATCCACTCCCCAATATGGTCTCGTGCCCCTTTACTTAATTAACTGAGAACAAGGAAAACTTTACCTCTTATCTCACGTTTGGATCTGATTCGCTTCCATCCCCTTGAATGCTGGATTCTTGAAACTGAACCCAGTCTCTAGTAGCATGTAGCCTACTGGGTTGGATGTTGAAAACTGCTGTTGATGCATCACTTGTCAGTAGAGGAGACAGAAGGAAGAGAGGAAGGAGAAGTGAGAGAGAGGGATAGGAGTTACCATGGTAACCAAACCCTAATAAGCAGTGTGGATGGTGGGTGAGGTATGCAAGACACCAATATATCTGGCCAATGCATCACTTTATATGGTTAAGTGGGGAGTGAATAGAATGAATAAGAGACTTGAAGGATTATTGAACAAAATGGAGGAACTAGTATTCAGTGTTGTGTTTATATTGGGACAAACCCTTTAAATGCCAAGCCCTGCCATAAATTTCCCTTCTAGAAATGTCGGGGCTGCTTCCACAGAAGACCCTGTAATGCTTTCTTCAGTGACCTTCAAACAAGGACAGAAATATATCTTGTGAAATCTCAGTCTTTCCACTAAACAATGATATGTCACACTTGATGCCATCTATTGATAAATATACTATACTAATTGGATAACAACAAGCCTATCTCTTCAGCTGTTGTTATATTAATGCATATTTCCCAAGCTGATCTGGAGAGTACATGAACTACAAGGAGTAACACATGTATCCAGAATCCCTCCAAAGGGCTGCTGGACCACAAGCCACAGGGAGAAAGAGGAGGAGGATGCCCCCTTAAAAGGTGGGAAGATCAGTACATAGACAATTGAAACAAGAAGAGATCAATATCACTGAACAGATTGGTTTATCATTAGTGCTCTAGGCTTGTGTTCAGGAGGTACTTGGTTTGAATCTTTGCCCATGCAATGGCCATCCTGTTTTTGTGGTTTCTCTTATTCATTGCAGGAAATTGCTGGTGTGATACATCAAGTTTTAAGCGCTTCTTTTCAAAATCCTTTCCAATTTATCAATCATTATAGAATTACATACTGAAAGAATAATGAAATAACCCATAATCTCACAGATCAATATTCCTAACTCTTGCTGATGCAAGTCTGTTTACCCTGTGAAGTAAGGGGTCATGATTCATTGGCATGAACTGAAGTGATTCACAGTATTGCTGATGTAAACACTTTTTTTTTAATGAGAAACCTTGTCTTGTGTATGGCAGGAAGTGATGTAAGTGGATTTATGTTGCTTTGGATTTTCCAGTTTTTGTCCTTTACAGACTAGGCTAAGTTGCGTGGGAGAAATAAGAAATGTATATATAATTATGGGCTATTCTCAAGGAAAGAGGTCACTTGAAAGACTTTAATGTAGATGGGAGGTTAATATTAAAGTGGATATTACAGAAATAGTGCTGGAGAGTGTGGATTAGTTTTGAGTAGGTGAGTGTAGGGGCCAAAATCCAATCCTGGGAACAGATAATGAACTTCTGTGTTCAATAAAAGGCAGAGAATATACTGATCAGCTGCGTGACTGTTAGCTTCTCGAGAATGATTGTGGCCTATGGTGTAGTTGGTCGGTCGGTCAGTCTAGCCTAAGTGTTTGTGTTATATTCGTTATGTCTTTCATGACATTTCTTGAAATTTATGTCGGATATGAATGATATTTTTACTTAATTTGGTTTATATTCGGAGTTCTTAGGATTTGTATTCTCCTCTTGCAGTCATTCCAGTCAAAACTTTCCTTCAGTTGCAAGGAGATTGTTGCGCTGAGTTGCTCCTGGTGTAAGACAGCGTACCATAACAAGGAGTCATGCTTCAACCTGCAGAAGATAGGAGAGGAATGCAATCTCGGTAAGTCATCCAGGAGGCGTGTGCCTGAGAATGATCTCGATCTACAGCTGCATATTCCAGCCTGCACATACAGGGAGCAAGATTAAATATCAGAAAACAGTTCAAGATTACATGAAAGATCTCCATTTTCTGTTACATGCCAGCTTTCTTTTCAGTGACCTGTTTTTTTTTTTTTTGAGAAAAAGCGTTAAGTTTGATTTTAGCTTTGTTTACTCTAAGGAGGGAAAAGCACTGCTAGGAAGACATGTACATACATAAAACGTTATTATGAAAATGGGTCTTAGAGAAAAAGAATGGGAGTATGATTGGATTCATCTGGCTCAGGATAGGGATCAGTGGTGGGCTGTTGTGAACATGGTAATGAACAATTTCTTTATTAAAACTATCACAACACAACTATATTAAGGTCAGTGCCTAGTTTGGCTCTGCTACATGTTTCGGCTATTAAAAGCCATCATAAGGCAAATACATGGCTAACATATATACACCACCGAACTGCAGTACTAGTAAAATTTGATACAATAATATTAATTATATTAAAATACTTGCTGTAAGAATACAATAAATTAGACTATATAAAACAAAAGTTATAATATAAAACAAGATTAAAATTCTTCAAGTGATGCTTTACATCATCAGGTCAGTCGTTGGTTTTTGCGTTTCTGTTGTGTTCCCCTCGACAAATTGGAGTATTCTATATTTTGTGTATATATAATAAACTGTTTTGGAGGCTCGTGATGTAGATGTAATAATATTAATGTTAATTATTTAGTCGGTGCCTCATCTTACAAAACATTGTTCATTCTATAGGGAATGTAAACAATGACTCGGGGTTTTGTAAGATGCTGGGACTTTCTTAATTGGCTGAGCAACTCTTGGCTTATCAGGAAAGACTGAGCTCTGTGAAGTTATTCTGTCAGTTTGCAGAGTATTTGAATTTCAAAGATAATCATTTTCATGATTTATTTCTAGCATATCATAAGAGGTTAAACAGTCTTTACTAGTCACACTGGATACAACTATTTCACCTCTTAGGATAGTATCAGTGTGATGGACCAGAATGAAACAAATGAACTTATTTCTAGGTCTACACAGTGGAATCATAGTGCCTCCCTCATGGATTGTGAAACTCCCAAGTAGAGGCAGTTTCAAGTCCAGCTTACGGAAATCACCAAAAAAGAAAACATCAAGTAAAAAAAGGAGCAAAGAAAAAGTAAGTTGTGTCACAAGATCTGAGTCATATGAGTATTCTGAATGAAGTGCAGACAGGTTGAACTACTGAAACTCCAAAGTAAACACCCTCTTATCCTTTTATAATAATGTATCTTTATGTTTTGTTTTACAACACTGTCAGTAATCACATGTATAGCATTGATTTGTAAGATGATTCTTAAATAATAAATAAGAAAGGATTTGGGAGGAAGTAATCATGGCCTAATCAACGCACTGCCCAAATATTTGTGGAGGGACTGAGGAAAGCCATGAAAAACCTCAGTCAGGGTACTGCCAGCAACATAAGGGGAGTAAATTCTAAAGAGTTCTGAGGATGGTGGATGACACACAGAATTACTGGGGTTTTGGACTTCTTCCATCATCCAGAATTCTAGGTAATAGAGGACACGACATTTTGGAAACTGGATCTGTTTCCGTCTTCAGGTGAGAAAAGGAACATACTCAGTTGAGGCCCTTAGAAAGAGCTAGTCCAGTGATTGAGATTAGTTCTTTCTAAGGGGCCCAACTGAATAGGTGTCTTCCTTTCTCACTTGAAGAGGGAAACAATCCAGTTTCCGAAATGTCATCTCCTCTGTTACGTAGAGTGTCCTCTTTTACCTAAAATTCCGGATGATGGAAAAAGTCCAAAACCCCAGTAATTCTGTGGAACATATGGGGAATAAATAATCATGTATTGAGGCTTAGTACGTTGTTACATGCATTCTTTTAATTTGAGATGTATTTGTTTCAGAATGAGAAGGATCAAAAGACTTTTGTGATAAAGCCAATCCCGTCAGCAAGTGTGAAACCTGTGCTTGTGTTCATCAACCCCAAGTCCGGGGGAAATCAGGGAGCAAAATTGTTACAGAAATTTCAGTGGCTTCTCAACCCGAGACAAGTGTTTGATCTTACGCAAGGAGGACCAAGAATGGGGTATGACTTTTTCATTTTTGATTTTAATATGCCTGAACCTGTATATTCTCTGTCAGACAATGCAGCTTCAACAATTTGCTGCTGATGTAGTACAGTGACACTTGTATATAGAAAATTTTCATTTAGAGTAGTTATTTTGTAAAGGTTTAATTATATGTCATACATATATAACAGGGTAAAGTTTCTTGTTCTGTTGTCATGAATGTTTCTTAGCTGTTAGAGCTTATATTAGTTACAGATGTGACTGGAAGATGGCAGTAATAAGCTTAGTATCTATGTATACATGGAGGTCACAGAATTTGTATCTGTGATATTAAAATGGATTAAAAATTGGTTTACTGAGGTTAGGTTTTTTCTGACAAAGTATCCTTTTATAGGCAGAAATGTTATACATGTGCAGAAGTTGTTTTCTGCTTGAATATCATGCTCCACAATTTACCATTGAAATTTCAATGGTCTTTATACTAGTTCTGAATGAAAGACTTTAGATTGTTTGAAGTGCTATTTCAATATGAATATTGGGGTTTTGGCCTGCTGATTGTTCACATTATGATCTTCTGGGTGTGACATCATGTAGTCAAATAGGTAGATGACATAATTCTGTATTTAAGCATCCGGTTGCAAGCCATATTAAAACGTCTATGTATAACACAGTCCGTCAATACTGCAACATATTGTTCCTTTTTCTTCCACTTACACTTCTAACACAACATGTTTCGGCCTTAGATGGCCATCTTCAGGTGTCTTAATATATTAAAATGGCTACACTGCATTAATATGTGCTAAAATCACAGGCTGTAGTGCACTTAATAAAATAAAATAAAATCTATTAACATTTTTGTTACTTTGTTGAAATTCTATCCCACCTCACAAGGGGTGTCAACACAGTAGCAGTGCCAATATATTAAGACACCTGAAGATGGCCATCTAAGGCCGAAACATGTGTTAAATCATAAGTGGAAGAAAATGAAACAATTTGTTGCATTATTGATGGACTCTGTTATACATAGACATTTTAATAGTTTGGGGGGAAAAAGCTGCCTCTATCTTAAGGGTTGAAGTTATTCTTCTGAATCATCAGTATTTACCTACAGGGCTGTATAAAGTCACAACCCCAGAAGAAGAGAATGTGCTGTTAACATTGATGAAGCATATCACCAGCTAACAAACTTGCATGTTACTAAAGTTGGGCTTAATTGTGAATTCTTGTCAACAGTCTGGAGTTGTTCCGTAAGGTGCCCAACCTGAGGGTGCTGGCCTGTGGAGGTGATGGCACAGTGGGTTGGGTGCTGTCAGTTTTGGATCAGATTGGTATCACTCCTGCACCTGCAGTTGGAGTGCTTCCCCTGGGGACAGGGAATGACCTGGCACGATCGCTAGGCTGGGGTGGTGTAAGTAGCATTTCTGTCCCAGCAAACTGTCTTAGTGAAGCAGAGTTCTTCTTGAGTGACTGGTATTGCTAAGCCATTCAAGATGTTCCCAGAACTTTATGGAACCCAGAGGTTCGTTACTAGACACACAAGAGCCCCCCCCAAGCCAGGTTTTTTTATAAGATCCATTTAATATTATGCTCCCATATGTGCCTAGGTCTTTCTGGTGGTTTATTATCTTCATATGTCCCTACCAAAACTCTTTGCACTTCTATTCTCTTCCATGAATGCTGTATGTCCTGCCAATCTTGTCCTCCTGGATTTTATCCCAGTAATATTTGTTGAGCAGTACACATTATGAAGCTGCTCATTATGCAGCTTTCACAGCCTCGTATAACTTCATCCCTCTTAGGTCTAAATATTCACAGCACCCTGTTCTGAAACGCCCTCAGTCTGTGTTCTTGCCGTAATTTGAGGTAGCAAGTTTTAAACCCCCCAAAAAAAAACAATGGACAAAATTACAGTTCTGTGTCTCTGATTCTGGATTGAATGGTAGCAGGCATTGTCTGAATTTAATCTGCCGTTAATTTCTTAATGAATGTAGTTCCAATCTGTTAGTATTGTTCCCCAATTAGAACAAATAGTTCTTACATAAATCTTCCTTTAGAAGTTTGAAAGGCTGAAAGTTTGCTTATTATATTCAAAAAGAACATTTGGTGCCATGAAATTAGTTCCAATGTTAGATCTCCAATTGTATAAACCATGTTTAATTTTTATATATTCATAGATTATTGAAAATGTTGTCTCATTTTAAATACCTCATACTGCATAGTCTTAGGTTACAAGATGAGTAGTGATAATTAATTGAGTAAGAGGTTAGGAAGACCATAGCGAGCCTCAGTCAGGATATATAATCTCTGCACCATGATCTGAACCTGGAACCTCCAGAAAACAAAGCAGGAGTTCTACCCACTTGACCCTGACATTTGGTATGTGGGAAATGTCGATAATAATTACCATTCTAAAGGATTCTAATGGTTGTATTTTATACTTAGTGTTACTAACTTTCTGAGTTTTGTCCATCACACGGTCTTCTAAATTAGAGCACAATTTCTATTCCATTTTATCTTTGTTCTCTTTTAGAATATCAGATAATGGATGAAGTCCAGAAAATTGATGATAAGATGCTGAGTGATCTTGTTGGGTTCTTGTATCATTTATGTCTCCTCAAAAACAGATTGAGCCATCTGGTTAACAGCTCATGCCTATCTTTTAAGTGCCTTCACATCCTTGTGAAGCAGATGTTGAAATTATTTGTTATTCCTTCTGTATAGATGAAACAACTCAAGAAATGAGGAATGCATTTATATAAAATTTGGTACTGGGGAGTCTTCCTAATATTTGTCAGCACATTTTAATTTTAGTTAAAATTGGACAGCAATAAGGGAGACTTTACATGAAGACCTACATGCACTTCCGTTCCCATGACGAGTGTAACTTGCTAGACATTTATTGGAGTCAGTAGTGGTTCAAATGAGAACTGTAGAGCAAATATAGACACAAGTTTTATATGCACTAAATTTAATGTATAAGATAAGTAAAAACAATTGATGAAACTAGCCTCAATTACTACACTGTGCTTACATTTCTAAAGTTATTTAGTTTATATACTTTGCCTTATGATGCATTTTCCAGGGTTATACAGATGAGCCAATTTCCAAAATCCTATCAAATATTGGGGAGAGTGATATTGTACAGCTGGACCGCTGGGAACTCAAGGTGGAAAAGAACCCAGACGCTGGAGCTAACGAAGAAGGGAAAGAAAACTTGCCGCTCAGTGTTGTCAATAATTATTTCTCACTTGGTGTCGACGCCCACATAGCACTGGAATTCCATGAAGCGAGAGGTGAGTCAGATGATATGGTACAATGACATATTTTGGTTTGTTAGCTTAATTTAGTTTAGCTTAGTTATTACTCACTTAAGGAGCTGAGCCCTTCTTGAGGAGTCGCCAATTCTGCAGCTACTCAAGAACTTCCCAGGATTTTATGGAACCAGAAGGTTCATTACCTTGTTCACAATGGCCCTCCACTGGTCCCTATCCTGAGCCAGATCAATCCAATCCACACCATCCTATCCTATCTCTCTAAGATCCATTTTAATATTGTCCACCCACCTACGCCTTGGTCTTCCCAGTGGTCTCTTTCCTTCTGGCTTTCCCCCACCAATATCCTATATGAATTTCTTTTCTCCCTCATTCGTGCTACATGCCCTGCCAACCTCATCCCCCTTGACCGAGGTGTGGTCCTCCAGCTTGGGGGTTAGGCATGGGGCTAACAACTCCTCGCTGTAAAAAAAAACTTGTTATGAAATTAGCTTAGTTATTTGCTTAATTAAATTAAATTAGTTTTAGGTTCTCACAGCAGTGTTATGAAGAGTTGTATCTTTTGTGACATATCGCCGTGTAGTCCGCTGAAATTCATGTTTGGAGGAACATAACACCTCCATCTTTGGGGTAGAAGAATAAGCCAAGCAAGAAACCAACATGATTCATGCAGCAAACATAGCATTATGTCACACAAGGTATGACTTTTCAACTTGTATGTTGTTACCGTTACTCTTCCTTTGTGCAGATGTGTGAAATGTTTCTGTTACCATTCACAGAGGCCCATCCTGAGCGATTCAATTCTCGACTGAGGAACAAGATGTTCTATGGGCAAGCAGGAGGCAAAGATCTGCTCAGACGAAAGTGGAAAGGTCTTGCAGAGTTTGTCACGTTGGAGTGTGACGGCAAGGACATGACACCAAAACTGAAGGACCATAAGGTCCATGCTATAGTGTTCCTTAACATTCCAAGGTATGAACACTGTAAGCCATACTGAGCTGCTTCTCTGAAACCTCTCACCGAGCTACAGGGGCTCATATCGTCATTAGTCACGTATTGTTAGAGGATCAGGATTTTAGTGAAATTGTCCTCATTTGAAGTGTCTCTTGTTGTCCTTTTCTCCTTCTCTATCCTTTTCTCTCCATCTTCCTATTCTTACCTCACTCTCCTCTTCCTCTTCGTCTTCTTCCTAACTCCCCCACCTACTCCTTTTTGTCTTCCTCCTCCTCCATATTCATTTATTCTTCTTCTCTTGCTTTACTTTCACATGTATATAGTATCTAAGAGAACGAGTTGTGATGTTGAAATATCAGTCTCAAGATTTTGACAGACTTAAAAGTTTTAAGCTGCTCTGGATACAAAGAAATGGGGTTTGGAATGTCATCTGCTAGGTTTTATTTATCTGTGTGCCTCTCATAAGTACCCATTCAGTTGGATTTTCTTTTTGTATTCAGCATCAAAGAGGTTATCTGTAATAGGTCAGTGCCTGGCGAATATGCATGTATTAGCTCCAAAAATAGAGGTCTGTCAAATGGGCCCTAAAAACAAAGGCCTGTCTTTGCACTGATCCTTTTTTTTTCTGACACCATTTATGTTTTATTTGAGTCTGCAGATGGAAAGTCAGTGCTCTTTTCTTACTTGCCATGATCTGTCTACTTAAATTTCTTTCCAGTTTTTCNTTTTTTTTTTTTTTTTTTTTGGTATCTTCCAGCACCTGGTTTATCCACGTTGTTCCTGGTGATCACATAGGCCTCTCTCCTTTCTTCCCAAATCCTGACCCCAGCATCCACACTGCAGAAGGAGGTAGCATCAAGTAGGCGACTTCCTGTTGGTGTGATGCACACGAGACCCAACAGGTCAATGGGATTGTGGTCAAACTGTAACAGATACAGCAAGTTGTCACCATACATCAGTAATGCTTTCAAATTGATGAAAGAGAGGAGAATGTTGAAGACATTGTTGAATGCAAGGACCTCTTATTCAGAATTGACAAAACTCTAATTTTATCTGTTGTTTTGTATGGGCATGAATATTTTTTCTCAGAGTGGAGAAGGGGGTTTTTTTGAAAATAACCTTCCAACACAAAAATTCTCCAAACGTTCCAATCCAAAATGCTAAGAAAACTAGTTAATGCTCCCTGGTATGTATCAAACGCTACCATACACAATGATCTAAGCATACCATATGCAACAGAAGTCATCAGAGCCTACACGGAGAAACACAAAAACTGGACCACTCAAAACAACAACTGACTAATAAGAAACCTCTTCAACCAACCAGCAATAGAAAGAAGACTAAATAGAATGTGGCCAGAGGATCTCATTAGATAAGCACCAGAGAATCATCGGAGGATGATACCTGCTTCAGTATTACACACACCCATCCCTTTTACTAATTACTCTATTTATGTATATTGAGTAGATTTTAAAATAAAAATAAAAAAAAAATTGAAACTAGGGTGTTGAGGGAAATGTTAATGTAAATCTGTTTATTGCAGTGTATTTACTTCTGGGTTTGTTGCAGTTATGGGGGTGGAACCCACCCCTGGAATCGGACTGCGGGTGGCATTGAGCCCGCAACTGATGATGGGCTCATTGAGGTTGTCGGACTCACCACCTATCAGCTTGTGAGTAAGTTTAGGAAGTCCTGTAAATATTTTGTTGGTGTGTTCAAACAGGATACTGTATTACCATAAAAAAAAAGACATGTTTGAAGTAACCAGTGTAGTAAACCATAGGCAGTTAACTATTGTTGTCTTTTTCTCTCAGGTTTTTTTTAAAGTTTTAAGTACAGCATGCCCTGGCGTTATTGAAAGGAAATCTTAAAATTTTGTCCATATCATGAAATTGGATTAAGCAAATCCTGTTTTTCCATTAACTCCTCTATTATGAGCAGAGACACGTCAAACAAAAAATTTTCTAAATCCATCATTTTATTAAAAACACATGCCTTTGCTCATCAGCTATAAGCATAGGTGCACTTTCTGGACTCTTTTAGGTGCACTTGGTACTCTCTTTATTGACATCTTAAATACACTACAAAACCAAAAATAATGTGGAAATAGCAGTCACATTACCAGTCATAACCCATCTGTCACTGATGCATGCACATAGCCTAGCCAGTGGCCAGGTAAAAATACCCAGATGTGTCACTGCGCATATGCAAATCCAAATTTCTTAAAAATAATCTTTTCTTTAAGAATTTGTTGTTGTTTTTGCAGTTTATGTTTAAGAAGCTCTATTATTTATCCCAGATTTCGATACTGGTGAATTTATACTCTGTAACACAAATGTTATAGCCATATTTTATTATTTCCATGAGGGTGAAGTTTTATAACCTAAATGTCCATAACACAAGGGGCGAATTGTACCACAGTTGTGTCTTCCCAGCAATTGATGGTGTCCGTTAAAATTTTGGGTCATGTTCTTTCTTTTCCAAGGTATTTTAATGTCACAGCTAACTGAGAATGGGGTGAGAAGAATTGTTATTACATGCAGATTCATATAGTGTTACTTTATAAACTACAAGGGTCATACTGAAAGTCATGAGCAACAATTTTTTTTGTAAAGTAACATGCTTTATTATTGACAAACCAAATACACCACCTCAATCTACAGACCTTTCTTTATTTTTCCACATAACCGTTACTTCTTGAAAATTCCCCTTCTGTAAAATTCCGTTCCAGCCTCCAGAAGACACTGATGCACTGCTTTCTGAATTGCCTCCCTTGTCTCAAAACGTTGTCCACACAGCTGATCCTTCACAAATCCAAAAAGATGGTAGTCTGAGGGTGCCAGATCAGGGCTATAGGAGGGGTGTGGAAGAAATTCCCACCCCATCTTTGCAATTGCTTCCAATGTGAGGCGAGCGGCGTGGGGGCCAGTGTTGTCATGCAGGATGATGATGTTTTGTCCCGGACGTTTATCGCGCAATGCATGGTGGAGCTTGTGCAGCGTCTGGACATAATGAGCAGCATTGATGGTTTGCCCAAGTTCCAGGAATTCAGCCAGAATAAACCCCTCTGCATCCCAGAAGTCTGTGCCCATCACCTTCACAGCTGATGGCACTGTCTATGCCTTCTTTTTTGATGGAGAATGCAAATGGTGCCATTCCATACTCTGCTGTTTCGTTTCAGGCTCGAAATGGTGAAACCAGCTTTCATCACTTGTCACAATACAGAGCAAAAAAATCATCGCCTTTGTGTCGATATCTCTGCAGCAGTTCTGAGATGATGGCTTTTCGCTGACCTTTGTGGTCTTTGGTCAACAATAACTGTGGGACCCAGTGAGCACAAACTTTCTTATAGCCCAAGCTTTCAATCATCTCCTGTACTGCACTATGCCCTATTCCAAGTTTTTGGGCTATTGTGTCCACAGTCGCATGCCTGTCGCCTTCAGTGATCTCATCCACTCTTTCCTTGTTGCGTTCAGTTTGCGGCTGTTCGAGGACGACTACTCCGAGGCTCATCTTCAGTGCTGGTGTTCCCATCTTTAAAATGTTTCACCTATCTTTGAACACTGCTTGCACCCATGCACACACTTCCATAAGCACACTGAAGTCTCTGGTGAACTTCTGCAGCAGGGATTTCCTCTTTTACAAGAAATTCGATGACAGCATGCTGGCGAAACGACATATTGTTGTCGGCCATTTTGTTAGGAGTGATACTGGTCACGTGAAGCAAGCTATTGACATCACAAGACACTCAAGGTTAACACAACAGCTGGTTCCACCTACCATCATACTCTCTTTTGTCTGCTGTTCCCAGTTTGCATGCAAAATATAGTTGCTCATGACTTTTGGTACGACCTACATATTATGGTTGTTATCTGTATGGGAACACAGACCAGAAGAATTTGAGGAGAACTGTCTTCTGTGACATGACATCTTGTAATCTGGTAGAAGTTAGCTGATGTTTCAGAGGACTGTACTGCTTCCATCTTCAATGTCAGAAAGTAAGATGAGCAATCAGAGATGGGCTTCTTGTTCCTCCAGAAATCACTAAACTTCTAACAGACTGCATGGCATCACATTCCAGAAGTTAACGTACCCTTTGTAGTCACCACTGTGAGAACTTGAATCCAGCCAGAAGAACTTCGGTACTCAGGAGAAAAATTTTGCTTAGTGGGGGGTGTAGTCCAACTGGGTCCACTGGGCACGGCGGCCACTGATTGTCCTATTGTAGCCTGCCTCGGGTGATTATGATGATGGAGAATTTGGTGGAATGATGATTGGCAGGGGAAACTGAAGTACTTGGAGAAAACCTGCCCCAAGTGCCACTTTGTCCACCACAAATCTCACTTGACCAGACCCAGGATCAAACCCGGGCCGCCGCAGAGGGAAGCCAACAACTAACCACTTGAGCTATGGCGCAGCCATACTCAGCAGAAATGTACATTCATTCATTCATTCATCAGTAATCTGTCAGATGACAGGTCCACAGCCTCTTCCAAAACAGTTTCTCCACTTAATGCGATCTTCTGTTTTTGGAAAGAGACTATCCAGGAAAAGTGATAATGTGGTAGTTTTTCCATTTGCTTTCCACATCGCAGTACAACAGCCGTTCAAACCACTCTGGTCACGCCTGTTGCTATACGAACTTGAACCATCTCGAGCATCATTTTCTCTGTGCTTCAAGTCGCCGCTGATGACGCTGCTTCCGGCATCAGTTTTCGGTGTCTCTCTTCGTCTGATGCCTACCCTTTGACCTGTCCAGCAAGGGAGGCCCTGCCAGTAGCTACGCTACCGCTGGTATAGCTCTCAGGGTCCTTGGCATACTCAAACACCCTCACCACGATAAGGTGGAGACACCAACGAGGGGAAATGTACATTACATCTTCATAAAAATTGTCAAGTTTGTGTTCAAGATTTTCATATATAAAAACATACAAAATATTAACACTGTATACATAAAGTGTTTGAAATTCATGTAATTTGGCATGTAACAGCTCATTATGTCCATTTTATTAAGTTATGATTTCAAAACGATCAAAATCAGCCCTGACATTGAACTAGAATATGTTTTCTACCAGACCAACTAAAAAAAAAAAAAATTGCTCTATACCAAGAGTGGCAGAGCTTACTGAACATTGTAGCTGCATGGATTCACTAATAATATATCATGGAGGCACACTAATATTCCAACGAGCCATATGCAGCTTGCAAGTCACAGTGTAGCCAATATCTGGACAGCTGTTCACATTGCCTGGTCAGTGGGAATAAGAGTTGCTAGGCAAGGAGGACCATTTCTGCCACTCTACCATCCCAGCTTGTGTCCTTGCTTGTCACATAACGCTATAGGAGAAAGTAATGAAACATTTCTATGTAAGAGTGTGGGCTGAGTATGATGAATGTGGAAAGAGTGGGTAGGTGGAGTGGGGGATGATCCATGAGGGTTATTTGCCTGGCTTTGCAAGTCAAATTGAGATACCTGGATGTAAATTTGTATGTGTACTGGGTTACAGCCGCTGTTGCAAGCTGGCGGCCATGGTACCTGCATCACCCAGTGCAGATCTGCACGTATTATCACCACAAAGACCATTCCCATGCAGGTGGATGGCGAGGCCTGCAAACTTACGCCTTCCATCATCTCCATGACCCTTCTCAATAAGGCCTCCATGTTAGCCAAGAGAAAGGGAGGAAAGACCAATATACAGTAAGCAGTTTCTCCAGTTTCTACACAGCATGATCTTAACTGTTCCCCAGCCATTTTATTTCCAACTCCATCACTCCTACCAGCCTGACTAGGTTAGGGATTGGAGAACTGGAGAATCAAGGTTCAGTACACAGTGGGGGCAGATTTTCTCTTCTGCACACTGCCTACACAGGCTCAGGGGCCCACCTAGCCTCCTGTAATGGCGCAAGGGTTATGTACAAGTAGATATGTTTTTTTGGGTAAATTTGGAATAAGTGTATCTAGACTTTAAGATTAAGAAATAGAAATAATGAAACGTACCAGGAAGCTTGGGTTTGCAAAGAAGTGTAACAGGCTATAGCTTAGTAATCAGAATGTTAGCGCGACAGCGTAATAACTCTGACATTGAGGAAGAAGCTATATGAAGTGGGTCATAAACACTATGGCATGAGGAAAACACTGAGTCGGAGAAGGCGGTAGACCTGAAAGAGCCAACCCCCTTTCGATAAACAGCCAATGAGTGGGCCACACCGACCCAAAATCACGTCAGAATGGGCGGGCCAATACACCCCGGAACCCAACGAGTCAGCAAAAAGAGGGTACATAAACCCTAGAGGAATCAATCAAAAAACTTTTGACTTGACTTTTTAATATTAATAATTGACATAGAGTTCAGCCGGAGGCTATCGCCGAGAGAGTGAAGGCAATGAGTAGGAGTTGATTGGTGATGGCGAGCGTCTGTTTCCTCAGCTCAAGTAAGTGAACCAACTTCATATAGCCATGAACATTAAGTGTGATAATATTAAAGTGCAAACCCCAGGGAGAGAAAGTGAAGACTAGATGGACTAGGATTACTGAGAAAGAGAGATAGAGGTATTGAGTACCCAATATCAGGGTGACAGGAGGGAACTAATGTGTGTACTACAGGGTTATAACCAAATGTAATGCGAACCGACAGACGTCGGAAAAGTGTGTATATATTATGTATATAGCGACATAGGTGAATAGAGTAGGATAGAAGTGCGCTGTGATATTAATTAAACCTAGCATTCCCTCAAGTGTTATCGTCCTCCCTGAATGCTCCTGCATCTCCCGAATCCTGTAGGAGAATTGCGAGTTAAAGCCAGGACCAGTGACGTAAGCGATTGATAAGTTTACTGGAGTTTTCTTGACATAACAAGATGGTGGTAGCATACTAAACCGGGTGACAGAGCTGGACAGCTCCAAGCCCCCTGTCACCACAGCATAACAGATTGGTGACAGCAGTGAGATAACCCTGTCGCAGGAGCGTAACACCTCCTATCCAATGGGTGCCAGGGATTCTTTCCCCAAAGGTTAAATGGCTGTGGCAAGGCCAATCACTGATGTCCATCTAATACCACGGTTCAGAATGTATGGAGCTGTACCTCTACTCCCATGTATGTCATAAAGGTATAATGCTTAATTAATTCGCTTAGTGGGGGGTGGAGTCCAACTGGGTCCACTCAGCACGCTGGCCACTGATTGGCCTATTGTACCTGCCCCGGGTGATTATGATGATGGAGAATTTGGTGGAATAAAGATTGACAGGGGAAACCGAAGTATTCAAAGAAAACCCACCCCAGCGCCACTTTGTCCGCCACAAATCCCACTTGACCAGACCCGAGATCGAACCCAGGCTACCACGGTGGGAAGCCAGTGACTAACCGCTTGAGTTATGGCGCTGCCAATGCTTAATTAAGCGCAGGTATTAGGTCATCTTTTTTTGCCTTTAATTCTGAAAGGTAAAGTTGACCATGTACTTAATTGAGTGCCATGAGTGTTCTGTTCCAAATATTTGTGAAAGCATGATGTATTTATCATCCTACCATTTGATCCTTTGTATAGTCTGGCTGGTGACAGCATCTTAAAATAGCCCACAAAAGAAAATAACATCTGATGATTTTTCAATGCATTAATATGTTTCAAAAGTAATATATTGCCATTTCATCAGTTAAGCTCTTCCAGGTGTACTTTCTAAGAAATATCACACCCCTTCCTGTCTGTCATTTCAGGAATGTATACTGCAAATTCTATGGCTTATCTGTTATTAACATGTTCACTGCCATTCTTATTGTCTTAAGATTTTACCTGGCAAGCTCTCCATTTTTCCACAGAAACTGAATTTTTAATTTACTGCATTTCAGACTGAAATGTAATAGATCCAACGAAGGCAGTTGACAGTTACTGTATATTTCAATCTTTGTAGCGTCTTCTAGCTGCACTTGAGTTTATTTTTCAGCTTTTGACTGACATCTATAGAAGAAAATGACATACATGCACATGGTGGCAACAGTACATCACTCAGATGGACTGGTGTTGCCATGTGGTAAACTTCAGCTTGTCAGATGATGGGTTTGGCAGCAAATATGTTAATGTCAGTTAAGCCATAAGGTTAAGTACGCATCTTAGAATGGCAGTATACTGATCAGGAAAATGTCTTTCTGTTACAGGCAAACTGCTTTGGAAACACTGAAAGTGAATGTGGATCGAATCAATATGTCTGATTATGAACAGCATCACTATGACAAGGAATTACTCAAACAAGCAGGTGTGTTTTTATGTACTGTTACACATAATACTCGAGAATTGTTTGCGTAAAAATTTTGAGATCCTCTGTGCTTGGAATTTCTTAGGCTTTATCATCACAGAATTGTAGATGTTCAGTTGTTCTGGTACAGTGGGGTTGGTGACTAGATTTTATCTCGCAAGGCAACAGTTTTAGCTTCAGTACATTATCTTACATAACTGTTTTATGCAACCAGCTATGCCTCTGTTGGTGATAGAAGTAAACCCCGTGTCAGACTTGGAGCAAGTGAGGAAGCTTATCAACAAGCAACTGGAAGAGAACAGCAGTAGTACTGCAGAAAACGAATTGCAGACTAGCCTCTCGCCAGACTGGTGCTTTGTAGACTGTGAGTGACGTATCTTTAAAATGTAGCTTTCAGAAGATTGCTTTAAACAGCGGCACTTTTCTTGCCACATTGAAGTAGATACATACAAAAGGCTAAACCTTGTTGATTTGTTGTAATGTATGTTAGGAGTTATGAGATGGCACTAGTTGTGAAAAGGAGCAATGAATATGTTTCACTTGGTATTCAGTGTTGAACTGTGCTGATAATGAACCTGACTGTCTTCTGGGATGTGGTGTCATGTAATCTGGTATTTTTATTGCTAATGGGGTGGGACTAAGTCCCTTGTACTGTGGCCACTTCTGGCCTATTGTACCAGCCCCAGATAATAGGTGAGGGTGATTGTGGAGCAATTGGTGGAATGAAGATTGGCAGAGGAAACCAAAGTACTCAGAGAAAGCCTGCCCCAGCGCCACTTTGCCCACCATAATCCCACTTGACCAGACCCGGGATTGAACCCGGGCTGCCGCGGTGGGAAGCCAGCGACTAACCGCTTGAGCTATGTTGCAGCCATGTAATTTGGTAGAAAGGTAATGTTGTTTGGGAGAAACTGTTCAGAAGGTGGAGGCAACAGGCTCCTCTGAAATGTTTGGAAATTTCTGCCAAAATGCATGTCTTGCACTTCCCACAAGATAGCATCTTCATATTGACTGCCATGAGAGCCTCAGATATCACATTTGCTGAAGAAGTTCAAAGCATATGTTACATTGTATGGATTCAGAGATAGTCCTTAATCACCATAGGATATGAAATGAGTCATAAAAGCATAAAACATATATTTACAGTACAACTAAAGCTTTTATGTAGAAAGTAAGAATATAAAATCTAAAATACACAATACAGAGAAGGTTTATGTAAGGCATTCAGCTGCTTTAAATAGATCTGTACATATATGAAATACTGCCCACTTACACTGTTTGTACAAACCTTTTGTTATTCTGAGCCACGTTATACAACCCACTTATGCTTCCAGTGTGTTTAAAGTTTAATTGTCAAGGTGTTTCAGTCATTAAAACTATAATTGACTTGTCAGTTTGTATTTAAGTGTTGATAGAATGATCTCACAACTGTTAGGTAAGGTAAATCAGATTCATGCAGAAACACTGTCTGCTTCATTTCATGAGATGTTTATTTTCTTACTATGCTGACCAAGGTTTTTCATGGTTTTTCTCTGTCTTATTATGCACATTTTAGGGTATCATTTTAAAATAGATGAAAAATGCTTCCTTCCCAGTCTCTTCCAATTCATCGTTCTTAATTACCCTGCCACATCTTGTTTTGTGTATCATCAGTAAGTATTCTGAGGCCATAAAATAACATAATAACCAATCATCAGTTAACCGGAATAGAATTTTTCAAATTTGATCCACATTGAAGAAAGTCGTCTTCTGGGTTTTGGCGCCATGTATTCTTCGTTTTGGCCGACGTTTCGGGACGTTCTGTGGACACCAGGTTGAAAGAACATCAACAGCATTTATGATTAGAACATCCGGACAAGTCAGCTGTAGCTGAACACAGCATCGAGCTAGACCACCGTATCCAGTTTCACAAAACCGCCATAATCACCAGTAAGAGCCGTTACCTAGATCGCATAATCCTGGAGGCCGTTGAGATTGAGCTCCATCAAAACAACATGAACAAGGAAACAGGGTTCAGTCTCAACAAGTCATGGAAGCCTCTCATCTCTTCCCCCAAGAGAAATCCAACAAGCCACCCTAGTTCTTCGTCATGTCATTGATGCCAGTAGCCTGTCCCTGTAATCATGTCATTGACGTCAGTAGCCTGTCCCCAACCAACCAGTTCTTCTTGTCTAACCGCAACATCCAAGTGCTATTGACCTCAAGTTTCCTGGATTGACTGGCCATTCCCCCCCCTCCCTTAGCACATAACACCATATATGGCCTTAATCGCTCTCCACTGCTCCTATTGGTCCGCTCTCCCTAACCACTCCCCTGCTTACTTCATATATAAAGCAGCGCCCTTCACTTCCTAATCATTACAGCTACTGCTTTCTGCATTCACAAGCCATTCACCTGCTCTGAAGATGGAGGCAATACGTTCCTCCGAAACGTCGGCCAAAATGAAGAATACATGGCGCCAAAACCCAGAAGACGACTTTCTTCATAGTCATTGCCGTGAAAACCTCAAAACTTACATCGATCCACATTCTTTGTATGTAAGTTGCATGTAGAGGCAGGGAGAAGTAGTTCCAGGAACCAGGACTCATCTAGAGATACCAACAGTAGAAAATTCCATTGGTTTTTTTTCCAGTAATGTCTTGATAGTAGTTGAAACCAAAACTGGAGAAATTTTTCAAGTAGTTAGAAATTGTAAATGGGTACAGTGCTCATTTGAAATATGTAATGCTATATTACTTTTTATTATTCTACAATCATTTCCTTTTGATGCAGGTCAATATTCAGAATGTCTCCAATTTCTTTAATCTTCCACCAAAAAATATCCTCTTCAAATTCTTGCCAGCTATTCTTTTTCTTCTTATTGTCATGTAGTATCTGGCCAAATCATCTTTTTATACGTGGTTGAACCATCATGTTCTGGGGTATGCGTTAGCATAGTTGGTTGAGGCACTATATTATTACAGGCCAGAAAGTTGCAGGTTTCATTCCCAATGAGGTCATGGGATTTGACACAATCCTTCCAGCTGCACTATGGCCCTGGGATCGACTCAGTCTCTAACAGAAATGAGTACCAGGTTTCTTCCTGGGGGTGAAGGGCAGCTGGCACATAAGGCTGACAACTTCGCCACCATATATGAGCTGATTTTCATGGGAACATCAACGTCTCACAACCCTGTGGGCCTTTACTGCCTGTTAAGGGGATAGCTTTACCTTTACCTTTACATTTACCTTTATCTTTTTTGCCATCTTATTCTAAATGAGATCATTTAGGCAGGTAGTGTAAGATATGAGAGAGAATACAGATGGCTAGAAACTGAAAAGTAAAAATTGTAGGAAGAAAAAAGAGGTAGGAAATATTCTTCATGTCAGATAGTGTGACAGACAAGAATTCCTTCTATTAAAAATGGAAATACCCAGCCATTCACCCATCTAAAACTAAAATAATGCTTACAGAAGAACAATAAATATTTTCTTAATTTGTGTATTTTGTATAATGCAAATGTGACATATTTCCAGCATGTACGGCAGAACGGTTCTTCAGGGTTGATCGAGCTCAGGAGCACCTTCACTACGTGATGGACATCGCAAGCGATCGCCTGTTCATTCTGGATACGGAGCCCTCCACATTGCCTCAAACTCCAGAAGATGAGACTGCTTTTCCATCTCCAGCAGCCAGCAACAAGCAGTCTAATAGTCTGCTTGGAGAAGAAACCACCCCTGAGCTCAGGTTAGTCCGTGGGCGCTATGCACCCCTGCGCCTCCGGCGGCGCTCTCCCTCCCTACAACCCAGGCCCCGGCCGTAGAAGCTTGCGTGTTCTGTGGTATGAGGGATATATGTGGTGAAAGGGAAGTAACTATAGATTTGTTTAGAATGACAGCCATTTTGGTGCAGTGTATATATTGGTTGTGTCTTTTGTGAGCTGCATCTGTCTTCATCCTTTTGATAATACATATTTCTGTCTGCATATGATACCATGTGAAATGAGACACAGTTGCAGTGTAGACCGTTCACAAATAATGGTGTTGGGTACGTGATAACTTGTATGCTGATCTTTACTTAAAAGGATGCTTTTAAGCCCTGTCTTCACAGTGTTAATTTTATCAGATTTAATTGTATTTCTCAAAGTAACCACAGCTCTGCAGTTAGGGAAATTGACACACATTTAACTGAAAAGTTTTCTGCAGATGCTGTTTTTCTTTTTACAGTGATATGCTTATTAACATTTTAACACTTTTTTTTTGGTTTTGAAGGACTATGAAAGACGTACTTTGGAAAAAAAAATGAATTTAATAAGTTTGTGATCCAATCATTGTAAAAGAAAGTACAGAAGATACAAGGGATCCCCAGCTACATGTGTGCCAGATTTCACAGCTGTGAAGCTTCTGTCTGCATAGGAAAATGCATCTAAATTTAGTAAAATTAATGTTGCATAGACAAGGCTTATAACCTCTCCATAATTATTCCTCTTCATATATTTTGAAAGAATTATGATAGTCCTCATTAAGAAGCTATGGATATCCTATGCTTCTCTCCTTCAAGTGGCAACAGTGATGGAGAGATAACATATAAGGATTACAAATAATTGCTACATATAATACTCATGAATTAAATTAAAAATAAACAAGACTTGATCTTACTGTATTATTTTATTTGCTAGTCACAACTAGTCAGAACATTTTGTTTAACTTATATTCTTCAAACTTTATCATTTTGAGTCTTTATTATGATTTCAAGTCTTCACATTTTCATGGCAGTGAGCGTTCAGATCTTCTTGATTATGACACTGGGATCATGGAGATGAATACCAGAATTTGGCGGAACATGCTGCCTTGGGACTGAAGTGACAATAATGAACATGCAACCAGGTTATATAGACTAGGTCATCATGAATATGGGTTCTCTGAATGGGCAGAAGGGGAGGGTCTGGTCTTGCCAATGGGAACATTCCTATGATGCAGACAAGAATCTCACCTCCCTGGGTTTCTGAGTAACCACATTCCATGTCATCATAACCTCACCTCACCATAATCACTTTTCATTCATTGTGGGTTATATTGTGACACTGTCAGTAGCTGGACTATATACCATCAAATTGTATAATGACTGGATGAATTGCAAAGGATTTGTAAGGAAACAGTCCTCTGTCTGAGGTACTAGGACAGCATTAACCTGGAAGGACTGAATACAACTATGAAAACCTCAGTCAGGATAACAATATGAACTGAGCATGTCTTGCACTTAAGTCTAGACTCACCTGCTCAGAGTTCATCTTTGAAGACAGATGTAGGTAGCAAATTGCTCTGAAATATTGGGAGTCCACCTTCAAGATCCTATTCTCACAGCCCAGAAGACCACACCTAGAACATTTCTTTTTCTTTAGTAGAACCAATGCAAGTGAAAAATTGAACATAGATGAGAGGTTCATTAAAGATGTGATATTAACAATAAACCACTAGTTCCTGCTGCTGAATAGGGTAATGACATATTGAGTACAAATGGTCAAAAGAAACATGACATGAGTTAAGGTAAACTTGACTGAATAAGCAGTTTTAATTACAATTAAACATATGATACATAATTGACATGACACATTGTGGTTGTATTATCTGGATGTGTAAAAAGAGGTTATGCGATGTTTTCATAGAATATGGATAACTTATTATTTATATTGTACATTAAAGTTTTAGTTTTGTTATTTAAATTTTGCAAAATATAAAGTGCATTATGCATTTGAAAAGTAGCTGAACAATGCACACGTATACTTGTAAATAATAGCATTTTCTGATGTTTTAAACTAATGACTACATATCAGTTTGTATGTCTATTTCAAGCATTTTTTGTTTACTTTCATAAATTTACATATATAATACTTACTCTGTATATGTAAATGTTATTAATACTATGGTTTGTTTTGGAGGTATAATATCTGTTAGATTTCTTTCCACACTGCCAAAACATTTCTCTTAATCCTGTCCATTTCCCTTGCTTTACATTCAAGTGTTAGATCTACTTACAATTAACATGACTCTTATTCTGGATATTGTCCATCATATTGAGAGTTCTCAAATGCTTTGCTTCAGAAACTGGATGTATTTCCACCATTGGAACTGTGGATAGAAGGGCATTAGCTCAGATATATTGAAGGTTTGGAAAGGTGTGAGTTTACAAGTTTGGCTTTCTGTGTTGTAATACCAGGTATTGTGGAGAAAAAAGCCAGCAGCCTGCGTTTTTGCTGGTTTCTTGTCTGGCTTACTCTAGACTACAGGGCCTTACAGTCCAGAAGACTATAATCTACAAAGTTACCACTTTGAGAACCTCAAATTCAATGCAGTATATGTTCTCATCTCGTGGTGACTGTGTGACGAATAACAAGAATGAGGTGGCGATTAAATGTAAAGAAGTGCGTTTTGGTGCTGTGTATGATAATACTTCAGCATATTTGTTTTGAGTACTTGCTTCACAATGTCTGAAACATATATTACTGGGAAGTGTATGCATTCCTGCTCAGTACATAATCACAACAAACAGGCTATCGTTCTGTTCATTACTCAGGATTCAAATGATTTGTTGCAAATAGTGAAAAATAAACATACAATTGTTTATGCCCACAAAGGACTCTTGTCCTTTCTTGACACTCCAATCACATGCTGTTCTCTGGTACATAGAGTGGGAAGGAAATCGTAAAATTTAAGCAGCAGTAGGTGAAATACCAATTTCACAAACCATGCCTCTGTCTACAGATGACTACTGGTGGTGTACATTGCTACAGTAGATTTTCCCATTAATTTTGCATCTCAGAATATGAATGCTTTCCTTTGGGTGTGTAAGCTATCTCAGTCCATGTTTGAGCATAGACTGCACAGTTACAGAATGTTATGTTTGAAGGAACATAGGACAATGGAAACTGTCCAAAATAAGAATCACGTTCATTGTTTGACACTGTCATCAGAAGGATGTAAACTTAGTGTAGATCTATTTAGCTTCAGAGCATGCAGTACCATGGCTGCATGTCTGTCTATTTGAGGTCCCAACCTCTATTTACACTTAACAGTGATGAAACATCACGCGAAGATGATGGCAAATGGAACAGCGATGGGAAGGTTAGTGAAAAATCAAATACAACACCCGATATTCGGCTCGCTGATAATGATGCTCAGATATGGAGAGACCAAGCATTGAGGGAGTCTCAGGCAGCCGTGACAAGCACACCACTGCAGACCACTGAAGATCAGGTTATCAGAAACGAAGAAGAAGATGACAACGATGAAAAGTTTAATCTTGATTGCCCTTCCACTGGGGGGAATATAAATTACCTTAGGTATAGTATGTGTAGATCAACGTAGTGTACTGTATGTTACGTGTTGTATGTTTATGAGGAGAACAGTGGAACTGCTACCCCCTGCTGGTGCTTCTGTGTGTTGAGCTGTTGGTTGCTTAATTGTTGCAGTGAATCGATGGTCCACTCCATATAATTTGCTGTATGTATGGTAGTTATGGATGCATGAGATCACAAACGAGAACTCGGAAAGAATTCCTTTATACTTACTGTTTCAGTGTACTTCTTGCTGTAACTGTAGGAATTTAGGTTATTGCAAGTTAAGTAACTGTTCTACTGCCCTTCCTGTGTAGTAAACGTGAGTTCTGAGCTTTGTGAAAATTTATGTGGACCTGTCTATTTTGTCTCCTCTGTCTCCTATTCTTCCTTTTGCTTCATCCTCTTCTCCTCTTCCTCTTTACACTCTTTCTCCTATTCGTTGTCATCTTCCTACCCCTTCTTTTCTATTTTCTTCTAGAATTATTTACATTTTGTACAGGTTAATGGACGAAAAATCTCCATTATACTTTTCCTAAAGTCTTTCCTTTTCAATTTCTTGCCAGCTATTTCCCCTCTTCTGGATGTTTCCCAGTATCTGGCAGAACCATCCTGTTTTGGATTGTCCCTTAAATCTCTTTGCCTTGAAGTTTAATTCCAGTCCCCATCTCAGCATCCTTGATCTATCAAACCATCATAACCTGTTCTCTTCTAGCTGTTACTAAACTTTTAACTCCAGCCTCTACTTCTAATTCTGTCCCTTCCCGTTCTCACCGTAATACTTGTCAAAATCTTCGCGTTTGTTGCTTAAATTTTGCTTTTGTTTCTCTTTGCAGTGGCCCATGTTTGATTGTTATATGTGCTTATTGGTGTAAAATATACTTTATAGATTGTTGTTTTGTATTGTTTTTGGATCTCTCTGTTCCATAATGTTCCTTTTATAATTTGATACAAATTCAGAACTATTTTGTATTTGTCTATTGATCCCTCTGTCAACTTTCACTTTAAAATTTATTTAACTTCCAAAATGAATACATCTTTCAAATCTGTTGTGTATCTTGTATGGTTTGGAAACACTTATCCCATATTATTGAAATGTATTAGAGGCATATGTGAGTCTTTGATGCCCTAAATGAGTGTTAAATTAATTAAGTAAATGAATTTTCTTCTCAATCCATTACATTGATGATGGGATGTGGAATATAAATCTTGTATTTATTCTGAACAATAAAGAATGATGTAGAGAATTCCTTTCTGGAACATGCTGTAGCAGCTATGTATTAGTTAAAAAGGTTAAGCTTAGTCCTGAACAATGGCATACGTATATACCATTCCATTACAGTTACATACATCAGACATAGCTCTGTATTTTGACACCACCATTGTAAACTACCTTTCTTCCCTATTTCATGTTGTTGGTATTTACTGTTTGTTGCACAGTCCTACTTGTACAGTGAGATACCCATTTAACATTCCAGCATTTAAAATCCTGTATTTAGTGAATATTTTTCTGATCCCAGCCAAAGCTGAATGTAAACAATATAATAGTTTCCCATATTTAATGAATTTCAATTTAGTAACAACCTGCATTTAGTGTAAGAATTATTTGATCTTCCAGAACTCATATATTTATGTGATTATGGCTGAAACAGCAATTGTTGTTCACATTTTCTTTCTTCTGGAAATTATTTGCACTCAATTTTTATATGCATTTCATATGTCATTAATTGTTTAGACATTAATTTGATATTACTGATTATGTAACTGCAGTAGAACTTGGTTATAACGTCATCAAAGGGACCTAAAAATAGTGTCGTTATAAACGAATGTCGTTGTAACCGAAGTGGGCACTTCCACAGTAGCCTTATGTTAGTCACCTAAAAATCTACCAAAAACCGAGTTAAAATGTTGCATTTTTTAGTGAAATACGTAGTTAAGTACAGACTAACGTAACATTAACGTGGAATTAATATGGATTCTCCATATCGTTTGTACTGTAGAATGCACCAAACCAAATTTGTGGCATACATCAGCTTTTTTCCTTCCATTTTCTATTTCACGAATCACTTTAACTTTCTCTTCAATGCTTAAAACTTTCCTTTTCATTGCCATGTTTTCGCTACTGCACTTCTCTGGGTTTAGGCAGGAACACTATAGGGTAAGTAAACAATGTGAGGTCCTGTTAGACGAGATTCTAGGAAAGGAATGCAGTTAACAACCTGCCGCGTCCTCTTGCACTATTCACGCAGTCCCACCCCACACCCTTGTTTTCGCATAAAACCCACGCTCCTCTTGCAGCCCGCGGTCGTATTCTTCCAGGACAGTCACATCAGCAAGTAGAGAAAGTGAGGGTGGGCAGACACATCGAACTTTCCCACGATATCAGAGAAATTCAGGAATGAAAATGACGTTACATACGAGGTTGATGCATTTGTGCATGTCATACTAAGCAAGGTATAAAAACAGTTGCTTTATGAGGAATTAGTTCATACCATTGAATATTTGACGCAATAGACAAGGTGTCGCAGAAACCGATGTTGCTATAACCAAGTTTTACTGTACTTTTGTTTGTGTAGAAACATGTCCTTATGCAAGGAAATGTTTTGTCATAATCATATAGAGTAAATGTTATGCAAACATTAACCATTTTCTAATGTAATTTTATATAACCCACATTTAATAAGTGATCTTCTTGGTTATGACACCATATAAACTCATGGGTGGGTACTGACATTTTGAAGGAATATGCTGCATCCATCTTCAGGGTTAAAGTGTGTAGGGTGAACAATTAGCTCATTTATATAGGCAGGTTATAACAAAGGTAGTCATGTTACCAACAGGAATAGTAAGGAATGGAACTTCATCTGTACCAATGGAAAAAATGGGTAGTGAATGGCCCTTATAAGGGAGAAATTTGTTTTTCATCACAGGTGGGATGATATGTTCCTCTGAAATATCAGTATCCATCTGTGAGACTACATGATGTTGCAACTATGAAGAACAAAATTTGAGCAATCACCCCTGTGAAAATGTCAGAATTGCATAAATCCCCATGTAGTTAAAACCATTAATTAGTGTATGAAAAGCCAGTCCCATAGATATTCAGTGAATGGGGATATCACTGTATTTGTGTAGGAAGCAGTTACTGATATTCAGTTAAGCATTCTTACTGTACAGAGAATTTTCTTGCAGTTATGTTCTTCAGGGTTCATATATTGGATTAATTAGTTCCATTATGCACCATGCTGTGACACTAAAATAATAAACAGACAAAAGAGAAAGCTATATAGGAGTTTCAGGTGAATCTGTGCTGATTTATAAAAAATATATGAGGCGTATGGTCCCTGGATTTCTGGGCTTTGTCCATCATCCAGTATTTGAAACATAACACAGTGTTTCAGACTTCAGGTAAGAAGGTGGACCAGTGGTCGAGATTGCCATTAGTTGTAATTGCAGTTGGTTGCCATTTTAAGCCAGAGGAATCTAGTGAACACTTTCCTATTCTGTATAATTTTCTTATGGCATTTGAAGATGTGACTGAATTCCTTGATTCAACATCTATCCATCTTACCTGTTGCTTGCTGTGTGTTTCCCATTCCACATACTTATCTCACACAGCCTTGTTTATTAATACCATTTAGCAACGGGAACCATTGGAAGCCTGATGTTAACTTACTAATACTTTGTGTCCCACTAGCACTGTTTTACACATCATACTGAGGTCACAGAATTCTCAAGAATCACCCCTCCTCCACATATTTCTCAAGCTTTTTCTTTTCTATTTTGAGTCGTCTTGTGGCGCTCTCATTGAAGCTATCCATATAACAGGCTGTGGAGGCCCATAGGCTTGTGCAATGTCGAGGCTCTCATGTTTTTCTAGACAGCTCACACATGGCAGTGAGGTTGTCAGCCTTACATGCCAGCTGCAGTTTACCTCCAGGAAGATTCCTGGTACTCATTTCTGTTAGAGGCTGAGTTGACCCCAGGGCCATAGTGTGGCTGAAAGGATTAGGTCAATTGAAAAATCCAGTCACCTCATCGGGAATCGAAACAATGAGCTTCTGATTTGTAGCACAGTGCCTCACTCAACTATGCTACTGTGTGCCTCAAGCACTAGGAAGGAAGCACATGTAGCCTAATTGAGCTACTGTCCTGGCTTTTGTATCGAGGGGACTGAGGAAGACAACAAGAAAGCTCAGTCAGGATGACCGGTGTTCCAGGCAAGATTTGAACCGAGCAGCTGCTGAATATGAATGTAGAGTGTCACTGCAGCTTCAGCTGTCTTGGTTCCCTCAGGCTGTTGCTGCTCCTCTCCCACATACTTCCTTCTATTCCCCTCTAGTCATTTAGCCATTGTGTTCACACGAATGTTAGAAATGATAACCCTCATTGGCAACATGTAATATGAGCTAGTTGACATAGGTCACAGGGGTCTGAAGTGGTGTATAACAGGAGGCAAAGGAAAGGAACACTTAAACACTAATCCATACTGTGTATAACCATATTCCATGGTCTCAATGTAACAGTGCTCTACACACTAAAACTTTCTAATGTATAAAGTGCTATCTGGTATTGTCAGGTGCACACAGCATGTTAATAAAAATTACTTGTTGTTAAGTGCATGATTATTTGTTGTAGAATAATTTAATTTATTTATATTATTGTCATTTGCATGCTAGCGCCTTTGAAAAGTTGTTTGGATTAGGTTACCTTTCATATAGGTGAGTGTACAAAGTTTATATACAGTGTAACTGATAATATTTCAGGATCGCATTTGAATTGTGTGATACATTTTTCAAAACGATTTCAATATTTACCTGTATAAATGTTACACTCACTAATTTCTGATTGCAGTGAAATCTTCTGAGGCAGTCAGTGATGTTAATGTGGAGCAGAAGTCAAATATTTTAGAGACCTGTCTCTGTCTTTTATCATAAGGGAATGATTTCACATTATTCCCTCTCTGATGATGGAACGTTTCAGGGACCTTATTTGTGTCCATCATCAGTGAATAATGTCATATCATGTTTGACTTCTGCTTCAGATTGTTGCAACTGGTTCCTGAGAAGATTTTACCATGTTCAGTCGCAATGAAAACTTCAGATGTTAACAAAATATCTTACTATGTAAGATTTGAGGCTTTCACGGCAGTGACTATGAAGAAAGCAGTCTTTTGTGATTTGGCACCGTGTATGTGTGGTGTTAACCGACGTTTCGGAGGAACGTATCACCTCCATCTTCAGGGTATAAGATGGAGGTGATACGTTCCTCCGAAACGTCGGTTAACACCACATATACACGGTGCCAAATCCCAAAAGACTTCTTTCTTCAAAATGTCTTACTGTTTTAATGTTTGTTCATTAAACTTGCTGGCTTACAACAGATACATAATGCTCACTTCGGAGAAATTGATAGAAAGACAGTATAGTCATTTCAAGGCTTGGGTAAGATTAATGATGTGACCAAAATAGAATACCACAGGTAGGAGGTAAGGGGGGGGGAATAAATATACATATCTAATACAGAATTAAAGATGTTTTGATGTTGATTTCTTCAGTGTGGATGAAAAAATTCTCATGCATATGCAAATAATTTTGACACTATGGCAAGTAATGTAGAATGCTCAGAAAGGCATGCAGGCCACACTATTGAAGGCTTAAAACACAACTGACATGGAGCTGATAGGTGGTTCAAGGCCATGCAAGCAATACTGTGTTCAATTATTTCCATATTATTGCATGTACCTGTTTTTATAGATGTTTTGAAGGCTATCCATTCATGTGAAAAGTATACTGATAGTATGGCTTGCATGACTTTTTAAGATGCTGTTTAATGTGAAGAACTGTTCTTGATGAAGTAGAAAGTTGTGATGTTTGAAATATTTATATAATGTTAAAGCACATATATGAGTTCATATGAATTGGTATCTTAGTGTTCATTTTGTGTGCAGAGTGACACAACAGTAACACTACATTTGATTGAAGTCTAAAGAAGTAACAGAAATTTCACTTCAGTCACTCATTGCATATTTCTTTAAAACAGAATAATTTTATGTATATCTGATAAAGAATCACTGTTTGTAAATTTGGCATGTGCATTTCTTATTCTGAATACTAAGAATCCTGCTCCACGGTCTGCCCATGTTAATCTATGTTAGTCAGGTTTGAAATAAAATTAAAGACTCTACTTTCACAAATGTTTGTGGTGCACCACTTTTTGTGGCATGTGTTAGTGAGCCATTGAACAATCATGTGTCTTTGTGGAAACATTTCTGTTCACATCAGTGCTTTGCCAAGACATGCCACACACAAATACTTAAGATAAAGGAGTCCAATACCCGGTTTTGCACTGTTAATTTGAAATAATAATGATACATGGCTCTGTACATTATGAATTGTTCAATTTAGAAATTATTTTCTATATGATATTTCCTAATGTATAATATTAACATGTGCAGAAAATAACTGTTCTTATTTCAGCCATCTATTGGAAAAGACAACAGATGGAATTCTCAAGGCTGCTAAATTAGGTGATTTGAAGATGGTAAGTGAAATTATAAAAGTATTATCTGTTAAAATGTTTGTTTTGTTTCTTGCAATACAAGCAGTTATCTTTGACTCATTTCTTTAAGTGCCAGGCTCAAATTTGTTGAATAATTAAATAAAAATGTTGAGAGAGATTTGAAGTTCTCACACTGGCTGCTATGAAGATGACTGACTTCTGGCATGTTGTCTTGTATAGTCTGGTAGATGTTTACCAATGCTTTGGAGGAACATAGTGCCTCCACCTGCAGCATAGAAGCTGGTAAAAAAATGTTCTGTGATGTAATGAAAAGATAACAAGATGGAAAACTAATCTCTTGTGTTTATGTCTCATTCTCTTCATAACCAATAACATGGGAACCTCAAATCCAAGTTTTCTTTGTGGATATTTTCTTAATAATGATATTTAAGAAAAGATCAGAAATAAATAAACTGTATTAACTTTGTAAGTTTTAAATTATCAAGAATGCTGTGGATGTGACGATCTTGTAACATAATCCTTCCTTAAACAAGAAGGAAGTGGAACTAAGAGGACCTTTGTTACAGTACAAAACTGTACCTGAAGAGTGCTATTTTCTGGAATGTGATACCATGTAATCCAATAGAAATTTACTCATATTTCAGAAGAATGTACAGCACTCTGCTTGTGACTTGATTCTTTCTGGTTGCTTGCTTTGTTTACTCTTCAGTCCTGAAGGTGGAGGTAGTATCTTCCTCTGAAATGTCGGTAAATGTCTGTCAGATGTCATAGTGTTGCAACCCAAAAGATAGTGCTCATCATAGTCACTGTATTACCGCAAAAGCCCATGTCATCTAACAGAAGTGTACATATTTGTCTCCTTCTTCATCTGAGCTGCAGATAAAGTAATGCTCAATGTCGGACATTGTCTGTAGCTGAAGGAGCTCCATTCTCAGGGTTTCTCACTGCTGTCCATTGATGCAACGGGTCAGACAGCACTCCATTATGGTTCGCGTTACGGCCACAAGGATATCGTCAAATATCTGATCGCCTCTGCACCTGCTTCCATTCTTAACATGGCAGACAATGACAGGTAGGCAGTTGAAATGGCCGTCATGAATGAATTGCATGTTGAGAGCAACCCAGCCAGAATTTCTTCATTAGAATTATCCACACATATAAGAGTTTTCTGTTGTCATTATGTATGTTTATTAACTGTTAGAGGTGGTAGTAGTTACAAATGGGACCAGAAGATGGCAGAAACTGCTTGCTATGCTGTTGTTATGTACGAGTATGTTATGAGTTGGTATAAGAGGTGATGGAGTTGGTGATAATTATGAATAGGATTAGAAGATTGCAACAATGTTTGCTATTCTGTCATCATGTTGGTTATGAATTAGTGGCAAAAAATGACATAGTTGGTAGTAGTTATGAATGAGGCCTAGACATTGCATCAGTTATTTGTTGTGATGTTATTATGTTAATTCATGAATTGGTAGAAGAAGATGGCACACTTGGTAGTAGTTACAAACATAACCTGAAGATTGCAGTATATGCTTGATATTGTGTTGTCATCTTAGTTATGAATTGGTACTGGAAGATGGCAGTGTTAATAGTAGCTGCAAATAAGAATATTGAATTTGTATATTTGGTGTTGCATACTATCTTATTTAGGTTAACTTCTTCTGTTTTGGGGGATGTAATGTCATGTAGTCTGTTGAAAGCCAAGCTTGTTACCTGCTTCATGCCGGTTTCCCACTTGACTTATTCTTCAACCCTGAAGATGAAATGTTGATTGACTTTTACCGGACTATGAGTCAGTATATTCTAAAAGACAGAAATATTTGTAACCACTGCTGTGAGAACCTGAATATGTAATAGGCATGAAGTTTCAAAATACTTCCTACTACTTAAGTAAGAAACATGCTCATTGCTGAATGTTCCAGTGGGTCCCTTGTCTTGAAATTGAATTGAATTACGGATTCTGAAGTTTTGGCACTCAACAGTTTTCTTTGCCTGTTCCTTGTATTTATGCAGGGGGCAGACTGCCCTGCATAAGGCAGCAGCGAACAAGAGGAGAAGCATCTGCTGTATGTTGGTGGCGGGAGGTGCTTCTCTCACCCTTCCTGATCATCAGGGGAACACACCTCGCCTTCTTGCGCTCCAAGCTGAGGATCATGAGTTAGCAGCCTACCTCGAGAGTAAGTCTTGCTTCAGGCGATAATATTGTCACGTGTTGGGTATGTAAAGCGACAGATAACTTCACGCCATCTTGGATGTAGCAAATTTATTGAGCACTTGCTCTTACAATTACACAATTCACAATCACACACGTACTGCCATCTGCAGTATCACAATTACGTCTTCTGATGTAGTCCTTTCCATTCACTCGATGCAACTTAACTTGTGGCTGCTGGACTTCACTGGACTCGGTGACTTCACGATCCACACTGTGTCACTCCTAATCACACACTCTGGTTCACACACTGCTCAACCAGCTTTCTATACTTACTTAAGACAGAGTGGACATTGTAGAATAGTCAGCACATTGTGAATTGTGTTTTAACTTGTTCCAGTACTTGCCTCTTGTTTATATGTATATTGCTTGGAGTGGCTGTGCTGCCATCTGTGAGTGACATTGTGTGTAAGAGATCTTTGAAGTTATGCCCTTATGAGAAAGTGATGTAGATCATTATATCATTATTAGAAAAGTGCTAGATTCTATTTTCAGCACCACAGTGGAAACCAAAGCTGCTGTACACCAAATCTCATTGAATGCATAGGACTTTACTTCCATATGGTTACCTATTCAACATGTAACCTCAGAGATGTTTGAAACCAAGAATAATGTGATACAGTTTGGTGTTGTAAATTGCAGTTCTGGAGGTTATTTTACTGTGCTGTTATTAGCTGGTCCATATAATAATATCAGTTGAATTGGAATGGGTTTTGAAAGAAGTGGTTATGGCCCAATTTCAGATAATATGCCTGAATTTGCCTGGCGGGATTAACCATAAAAACCCTCAATCAGAATAGCCAGTGTCTTGACTGAGATTCCAACCAAGCAACTCAGAATATATGAATCTAGAATGTTACTGCTGTACCAACCCATTTCTTTTCTAGAAACTGCAGGTGACATCTAGAGACCAGTGAAATTTAATTAACTCATGGACAAGGAATATCAGTATCTTTCTCTTAGACTTATTTTCATTATTTTAAATGTTTTCTGTGTTATTTTAACCATGTTTCTGTGATATTTGCCTGAAGTTGAACAAGCATCCTTCACTGTATAATGTAAAATCTGATTTTAGTCCACATCAAGAAATAATCTTCTCTTTTAGATGTGTCATATGACTTCATTCAGTGGGCTATAAGCATGCATTTTGTTGTTTTCTTCTTTGCATATTTTTAGATGAAAATTGCATGTCTTGTGAAAATGGTGAGAAAATAACATGCAGTGAAAAGGTTAAGAACATTAAAACCTGTAAGAACATACATTAATTGTTTTCATCTGTGTTTCAGGTCAAGAACACTTCCAGTTGGTGTCTGAAGACTTGGAGACTGTTGTCTGAAATTTACAAAAACAGTACTGGACCAATGTACCTTCATTTTTTCTACTTTTAATGGAAAGGACTCTGACAGAAAGTAAAGGACCAATCATGTATTATTAGAGAAACTGAATGAGCAGATTGATCAAGATGTTGATGTATTCAGCATTAGATTCTGCCTCTTAAATACATCAGTTGTAAGTCCAATAATGGTTTCTTGCACATAAGTGTGAGGCTCATGGTAAATGCTTTAATAGTTCAGAGTGCCTGTCTATGCAGCCATATTGAGTGTTGAAATGTGGATATGGCTGTGCTTCATTATACCGAATTATTGCTGCATTATTGAGATGACTGTGTCACTCATACATAATAAGGAACAATGGATTTAAAACCCACAGTAAGGATAAGAATCCTGCATTCATTTCTGAGCTTTGGAGAATCTGTTCCCCGCCCTTGTCCAATACAAAAATAACAGTATTTCTAGTGTAAGCTGAAATGCCAGATTATGCTCATATTGAATGTTTACTATGCATTGCAACATTGTGATGCTCACCATGTCTTTTGATACTTTAATCCTTGATAGTTAAGCAACACCACACAACTACCTGCAGGAAATGAGAAGACTGCTTGGGGGTAAGTGCACTTGCACTTAAAAGACCTACAGTACATTCTTAATGACCTTCAAGAAGCAGCAGGCATAGATCATGTGGAAGCCTGTTCTCTCCTGTTACACTGTTCTCTCCTGTTACACTTATGCCATCTCTTGACATAAATGCTGTATTAATTGACTTCCAGTGAACTGATCTGATCAACTCATGGTGTGCAAAAGGTTAAAGAGAATGTTTCTTTCCCCACTGTGAACAACTTTGCTGTAAATGTTTATACATTCTTTTTTGTATCAGTCATTCATTCACAAGCTTGACAGAAGTACAAACTGCAAGGTGATGGCCAGTAGAAGAAGTTCAGGAGAGTGACTTAGCAGAGGGGGAAGAGATTCTTCCAGAAGTCAGAAGTGGAGCCTCCACTTGTTTTACAAGATTTTAGATCCATTGCCTATGCTGTAGAATTGAAACTCTGTAGCTGTGGTGTTGCATCTGGGATGTCTCCAAGAAAGTTTGTAACTGTGGCCAGTATAAGTCATGTCTATATTTTTGCCTGACACATAACATCAGGTAAAAAATATTTTAATGCAGAAGTGACCAATAATCATGTCCCTTAACACAAAGAGAAACATGGGAACAAAACATAGAAAATATCACCTAAAAAGGAAAACCACTTATTTCAGCAAGTTTGTAAACGGTTTAAATTCATACTTATAGTGTTGAAAGAAATCTCATTTTAATTGTGCTGTTGTAGAAAATTTGGTTCAGTGGGTAGATTTGAATATGTAGGATTTAAAGTTTTCTTGCCACCGGCATGCAATGAAGTCTTCTTGAACGATAAGTTCTGTGACAGTGGGGTTGTTATTCTGTGTTTCAAAGACTCACTTTGTCTCCATAATCAGACATGATTTGGTGAGTGACAACTGTTCGTTATACTGTCGGTCTCGGAGCATGATACAATTTCCAAAGCATAGTACGCCAACTCAATTTTCACGTGGCTGATTTTTTGAAAGAATTTCATTTACAGCTTTGTTACTGTCTGATTCACTTTGATGCAGTCATCGTTATGAAAATCAATTAGTTACAATTGTAAGAGATTTGAGGTTCTGATGACAGTGATTGTGAGGATTGTTGTTCTCTGGGATGTGGTACTGTGTGGTCTGGTAGATATTTACTACACTACATATTGTCACATGATAGATGACAGAAGTAATAAAAGGATTATAACTAACATAAAAGGATGACAGCATTGAGACATAGAGAGGTATTTGATAACAGGCTGATGACAGACAGCACACTGTTATGATAGTGAGGCAGAAGTCTGCTGACATTTCTGAGGAACATAACTACCACCATCTTTTGGGTGAAAGCATAAACCAAGCAGCAAACAGATTAAAGACTTGCTGTTCTTACTCTTTGAAGATGGAAACAGCATATTCCTCTGAAATGTTGGTAAACATGGCATCACATCCTATAGGATAGTACACTTCATGGTCACCTTCATGCAAACCTCAAATCAGACAAGATTATACCCATCCCTCAGTTGAAAATATCACTGTAAGCACGCCCCTTCATCCTTCCCAATCCCATTCCCTTATTATTGGAATAATTTTCTTAATTGTTTAATGTTATTAATTTACTGTTTTGGCAGGGAAGTGCGGTGGATTTGAAATCTGTTTTATCAGTCCCTCCATTATCATCCCTTCACTCATGAAGATGTGTGCCCCGACTAAATTGCTGCAGTTAGTGTCATGGAAAAGACAAAGTTTAAATTACCAAATGAAGAAGAGACCATCATATTATATTAATGTATTTATATTAATAAGTAGGTTCTCTAATGAAACTCTATACATGGTGACAAAACATTGTTTTCAGCATCAAAATAAAATTATTTTGCTTACATTCATAGCTGAAGACACGAAACAAAATAAATATATAAATAATAATTTTATGGATACAAATATTTAATTCATCATGAAATATAATTATACTTTAGAAGTAAAGTAGTTAGTTCTGAAAATTGAGGTAAGAACCCCTGAACGTTGTATTGTTCAGTATTAGTTTCACTAAGTGACAGAGCATGTTCGGGGAACTCAAATAGATATGTGTATTGTAAGATAATTGCACTTGAAACTGGGAATTCCCCGTCCCGTTTAGTCCACACAGCACAGTTACTTCAGAAACGTACATCTTTACATTAGCAATAAGGCAAGCTCTATTTGCTTCATTTATATATTGTCTTGTCTCAGGCATCTAAAGTTAATTTTTGCAGGGAAAGATTCCAGAGATTGAGCAATTATTCAACCAAGCAGGCTGGCTCAAGTGACATCACTTCTGACTTACATTGTCAAGGGATGCTTGGTTTGTGTCTTGACTGGGACACTAACTATCCTGACTGATATTATCCTTAATTTTACCCAGTCCCTCAAAACAAATTCTAGGATATAGTCCTGAAGTATGCCATGCCCACTTTCTTTGAAATCCTTTCCAATTCATCATTTGTTAATCTTCATCTCATTTGACACTATGTTGTCAGATTTGCTGACAGCATCTGTAAATAATCCATATAAGAATAAGCTTACAGAATTTTGTACAGATAGACCATTTTTTATCTTGAGGATGTTGCCAAACTCTGTATAATTGGCACCGTTACTGTTGTACCCTTTCTCTACAAGAAGGGAACAAATGAATTTCTGATTTAAAGCAGCGGATCCAAAACACACATACACAGTATGTGAGGGTGGCCTGAGTAAGGCCTTAAGGCTGTAAAGACCTTGGGAAACATATGTCATCATTATATTCTTCAATTCACAAATTCAGAATTTGAGGTTTTTAACACTAATTTCTGGATGAGAGGCAGTGTAATTTGATACACACCTACCAAACTGCTTGACATCACATTCAGAATATTGTGATCCTAATTTAGAGATGGATTCTATGTTTATTTAATTTGTTTCGTATAGTTGTAAGATCTGAACCTTCAGTTGATTATAACTGAATTGGTTATTTCTATAAGGGAAGGTATCCATGTTTCAGCTATCAGAAGCATTTCACTTTCCAGCTAACAGATTCAGTTATCCTCATAACATGTTTGATCTTCATCCTGAAAACATTACTTTGAACAATTTTTTAAAGTTAATTTTTCTTGTGTTTTGTTACAAATACTAAGCAGATTGGTTTAGTGGCAACACTCCAGACTTGCATTTTGGAGGTGCTTGGTTTGAATGTTACCTGGAAAACAGTTATCCTGAGGTTTTTCACGGTTTTCCTCAATCCTTCAAGACCTTGATTAGGTCACAACAGGCTCCTTCCAGTTCCTTTCCAATTCATCCTGCTGTGTGACGCTATATGGTTTGAGATGCTGACAGCACCATTAAATAAGCCACAGAGGAATGTCTGCAAATTAATGGTTTGGTAGATTTTAATGTCTCCTTGCCACATCTTTCCATTAAAAATTAAGGATGTAAGACTGTATTCTTCTGAAATATCTTTTATCTTGCTTTTTTCCACAGGAAGGGCTTATGGCTAAATGTATAAAAATTGTTTGGTCTGCCCTCATATTTGAAGCCTGTCATTCATATAATTACACCTTTTATACTTGATTATTTTTCTTATGTTATAATATTTTTTACACTATAATAAGCAATGTTCTATAACAGCATTACATAAACTGTGGTTCCCATATCTGTAGAGATACCATAGTCGCTTGCCAGGGGACACAAAAGTCCTCATTTTCAGCATTATCATTGCACTGTTTTCTGTGGGTACTGTTTTTATTTTGAATCAAGTCAGAAGAAGCTTGTACATATGCCAGATATGAAGGTGATTGCTGTTCATGTATATTATGACAGCAATAAAAATTAAGTTGTGAGTTTTCCAAATTTTTCTTCTCTCTGGGATCCAGGCATCTGTTTACCTGTTTCAGCAAAATTTGAAAGTTTTAAAACCATTGTTCTAAAATACTAACAAGTCTCCAAGCAGGATGGGTCAGTGGCCATGATCTAGACTTGTGTCCAGGAGTTACTCGACCAGAACATTAGCTATTGTGATTGAGGATTCTTTTTACTTGAGTGGTTTTCCTCAGTCCCTCCAGGCAAATTGTGGAACAGTACCCTGATTCATTGTCCATCATTTCATCCTTCCATTCAGTACTTACAGAGTAGCTACTGACAGCATTATAAAATATCCCATAGAAATATTAATAAATCCAATGTTTTCTTTCCAGAACTATGAGAAATAATTTTAAAACTAATTTCTGTGAAACAGTAAGGAGTCCCTTGATCTCTGTAAACACATTGGTCCAAAGTTCTATCCGGTCGGATTGGTCATACTTTTCCCTGATAAATATATATACACTCTGTTTTGCTTGCCTGATTCTCATTTTTAAATCATTAGGAAATACTTCGCAGTATCTTTGATGATAGATATTATTCTAATTACAAGAACTGTGAACTAATTTTCCGGCTGAAATGGCATATAATGTATTTATATCATAGTTAGTTTACATACAGAATGTACCACTTAAAATGCAGCCCAAACAACGGTTACATACTGAGGTACATGTATAAAATCAAAAGCTGTTCTCCCAGTTCGCTGAACTCTCCCAGCTTCCCTCGTGACGCTCCAGTCAACGTCAACCTGATTGTTGCTGTCTTCAGTTGCCCAGACACTTTGCAGGTGTGAGCATGGTGTACTCATGGACAAAATGTATGTTCAGTCTTGAACATTTCATTGCACCGCAATTGTTTACTGCCATTTGTGAAGCCTTAGCAGTGCATATCCTGGCAAGGAAATACGAAATAAGACAACATTGATGTTGCATGGAAACTTGCATATGCTGTTTTAGTTTTGGGGTGCATTTTAAATGATACAGCCTGTATAATTCAGTAATCTTTCATGATTGTAGTATTAGTTTTTGCTGAATATGAAGTAGGTGGATTTTTACCACCTTAATTGTAGAAAAATAGTTTGGTAGACTTTATATTTTTTGTCAGAGGACATAACAAAAACTTATGTATACATTCCTGCACACTAGAGTCAATATTATGGAGCAAAAGTTGTGTGCCCCATTAAATTTCCCTATTAGTCTCTATTTCCTGTAAGGAGAATGTTAATGTTCATGTGTATAATGACACCAAAAGCTTTTAAACTTGAAAGAATATATATTATCTATTTTTACCGTTGAATATGGATGTAATAATTGTGTACTACTAGAAGTAGAATCGATCATCTTGTTCTAAACAAACTAATGGCCTTGCACTTACTCCCTTTGAGCATTATGTAGGAAAGCTTATTTCCACAAAGTTTTTTTTTATTATTATTTTCAGGATCATCATAATGTATACTTCCTTACTCACAAAATGTAAGATACACATGGGATTTAACTCATGTACCTCGTAGTTTCTTTGAAACCTTGTATTGCCAAAACAGTATAAATGGTCCAGAATACATTGCAGATCAAGTTTAACGTTATTTGCCCATGGAATAATGCAGTGTTTGAGGTCATTTATGTGGATTTTGCTCATCATAGTAGGTAGATACATAACCACATACCAGAGCAAATGTAGATGAAAGTTCAATCAGGATTTCTCATTTTCTTTCCACTTAATTGTGAAAATAGAATCTGCATCTGGAACAGTGTGACTTTTATATATAAATAAGTACAATAATGGATAAGCTCAAAGTGTAAAAAGGTGGAAAGAAATTGAGACAGTAATAGAGTTGCAGGACTTTAAACAGAGAAAGATACCAGACAAAGCTCAATTGATTAAATATTTAATTGAAGAATATAGTCTTCTGAGTTGTAACAGTGTGCAATTTAGAGAGAACATGGCATTTCAGAGGAACCAACAGAAGCAAGCAGCAAGTTGAGATAACTCAGCATCTGCCCCATCCCCCACTTCCACCACTTCTGCTGGTTTCTTGCTTGTCTTTCTCAGGGTCAGTATGTTTCCCCAAACCTTGGGGTGCCTTCAAACTACGCTGTGTTACAACCCAGAAGATAACACACCTCAAAGTCACTGCCAGAGGAGCCCCAAGTTCGGTGAAGATTTAACTGACTGCAATGTGTTGAGGACTTAATGTAATGTATTATTATTATTATTATTATTAATTATTATTATTATTATTATCATCAGCATCATTATCATCATTGTCATCATCTGACACATTTTCAATGCCTTGTAAGTATATGATCATTATTAAAAGTAATTACTATAGATGTAAATTTACATGAATCCTTCACATAAGAAAGAAAAAGGATTGTACTACAAGTTGTAATGTTAATGTAAAATGTAGTGTGCATTGTTCATGTTATAATTTATTAGATATTATTGTTATTTTCAAATGAATCTCCATCTGACTGCCTTGAAAACTTTTTTAAAAACTTCCTACTACTCTGTGAACTGTACATATGTAGAAGGTAGTGACATCTGTGCTCATCTGCTCAATCTGAACCCTTACTCTTGTGATAGAATCTTATAATGAAGGAATGAATGTCGGAGAGGAAAAGTGACTTAAAAGCGTGTGACTGTTGCAATATTTTTGAGAGATTTGAGTGCACCAATCTGTGTGTGTGTGCGTGTGTTGGTGGTATTTTCTTCTGTTCATAATGACCAAGTTTGACTACATAAATGTTCTATTAAAGTATAGGTACTAGTGTCAATAGACGAAATCATGTTACTGAATCACAGAAAAGGAACGAAGTATTTATAATGATAGTAAATAGTAATATCCATAAATAGGAAGGCTACTGCGGGTATTTAATGTTAATAGTTTTCATTTGGGTACAAGACAAGAGTGTAATAGCATGTCAGCTGTGAATTAACATTATTTTATATAGTACCTCTTTTAAGCCTTGATCACATCCTTTCAGATTCATTCTAATTCGTCATTCATCAGCTGTTCTACCGTTCCATGCTACATAGTCTCACTATTGAAAATGTGTTAAGTAACTCCCTAAAAGAACAATATTTATTGCAATGTCAATTATTCTTACTAGGCCTTGTTGTTTAAAATCTAAAAATATTTCTGTTCATATGAATGTTGACATGGGAGAGAAGTGCATGAAAATTTTTTATAGGAAAGCCTAAAGGCCACTAGGAAGATCTAGGTATACATGGAAAGCTAATATTAAAGTGGATAATACAGAAATAGAATGGGAGGGTGTGAACGAGATTTGTCTGGCTCAAAATAGGGAGTAGTGATTCATGCTCTTGTGAGTACAATAGTGAACTTCCATTGAATGGCTGAGCAACTATTAGCTCCCCAGAATGGACTCTGCTCCGTGGAGTTAGCTATTACTAATTTTTTTTACAGTTTACAGATTTTTTGGAATACGTGCTAGCACTGTGAAAGTTAGCTGACACATGCTGGACATTTAGCATCCTTTGAATCTTATTATTCGAACACAGTGGTTTGGAAACTGGTTTTGTCTTTTTTGTCAGTTAAAAATAGATATCTATTCAGTTTGGCCTTTTGGAAAAGGTTAGTTTCAGTAGTTGTAGTCAGAGTTTCTTCTTCTTTTTCCTCTCCTTCTCCTCCGCTTATAAGATCATTAACATTTTATATGAGTCCGTGGTCAAAAAGTCTCAGTCTCTTTCCACCACACTCCTCTCTTCTTTCCATCATATAGAACCTGGTTGAACCATCTTTATCTTTGTCTTCCTATATGGTTCTTTCCTTCAAATCTTAATCCTAATGCCCTATTCAGTATGCTTGTCATTTCCTTTCCCCTTACATGGCCAAACTATTGTAATCGTTTCTCTTCCAACTCAGTTAACAAATTCTGAACTCCAGCATCTACAGGAATTTAATTTCTAATTTTATTCAGTCATGTTTCCTCCTTAGTACTTTTAAAAAATTCCATACTCATTTCTTGAATTTTGCTTTTGTTTCTCATTGTAAGGATCCATGTTACAGTGTTATATGTGATTACCGGTTTGAAATATTTTGTATAGAGTGCTGTTATGGGTTATTTCTTGTTCCATAATGATTCATATACATTTTGAGAAAATTTTTAACTATTTTGTATTCTTCTGGTGATCTCCATGAATTTTCCTTCCTGAATTTATTTCATTTCCCAAATCAATAAATATTACCATCTCTTGAATAATTGCATCATTAGGGTTTATTCTGATGCTTCTGTCTAGGTTATTGGAAACTGCATGGTGATTGTCTTCTCCATATCAATTTTGTCAGTGTTCCATTATGATAAGATTACATCTAGTCAAGGTATATAAATTGTAAATGTCAAACAATGACTTTACTTCAAATTAAACCAAAACCTATGAAGAGAATTATGAAAGGTGGCAGAAGCGAGTTCAAATTTGGTAATAATTATGTAGTAAGCTTACTAAAAGATTGAAACCCAGTGATCATGAAACATAACCATGAGCTAATGAAAAATGAAAGTATGATAAAATGTCAATGAAATTTAACCTATAAGGCAAACAAAACATCCTCATTATCCCTTTTCCATTAAGCATTTCAGACCTATAAACAGCTGACTAGCAGCTGCTCACTTCTCTGTGGTCATATAGACTGATATCATTATAAATTATTGTAGTGTTGTATTCTGTACCAGGGGTGGAAATGGCTTTTCAGAACTGATAGATGCTCCAGATCATAAGAAAAACCCAGGGAAATGACAAACACATATTAAATCAAAATTATTGTAATGTAGGCTCATAAGGTGAGAACAGCTTCTTCAGAATGAAGCACTCTGGATCAAAGCAGATGGCATCAACTCCCATTTCCAGCCCTGCTATCTACTGTCTTAATTAGCAAACACTGATATAATGCAGTATTATAAAAGCAGTTGGAAGTCCAGTTAGAAAGTTGTCTCTGTAATTTGATTATCATCTTGTAGATATGTCTCAGAAGATAATTATAATGTGTTGCATACTTTAAAACATACAGCATGTGTGGCAAAGATATATAAATGGCCAAAATGCTAGAACTTTTGGACGAACTTTAGTTAGAGACAAGGTATAGCTCTTTGCCATTTCAGTGTTCCCATACTTCAGGCTTAAGAGTTACCTGAATGTATGTTAAAACCAATGGGTAAGACTTTGTACTGCTGGGTTTCTGGACTTTTGCCTATCATCTAGCATTCTGAACACAGTGGACTTGGTTTGTTGGCTGGGTTTCTTACATAAAAGTTCCATCTCCTTTTCCATCATAGTTTCAGGTGTGTCCATACTTGCTTTATCACAGTTTTTATTGTACAGTTTATCTGTTGTCTCCCATTGAGAAAACCTGGCCTCAGGTATTTACATAGCTGTAGTTATACTGACATATATTGTCCAGTGATTGAGGTTAGCTCTTTTAAAGGGACACCCAACAAAGTAGTTGTCTTCCCCTTCCCTGAGGACAGAAACAGATTCAGTTACTGAAACACTGTGTTCTCTAGTTTTTAGAATACTGGATGATGGACAAAGTCCAAAAAACCAGCAATTCAGTGTGTAATGTTTCTAAAACTAAACATGTTTCCTTTCTCCAGTGAAAAGGTTTGGACCCTGGTCCAACAACTGAGCTCACCTGTCTGTAACTAATTGCACTGAGTAGGTGCCTCGCCACTTTTCGTATGAGAAATGAAACAGCCAGTTTCAGAAACATGTTCTGGTCAGAATACCGGACAGGCAAGGACCAGAAATGCATTCGTCCTAAGTGTGGTTTACCATAATCAGAGCCATTTAGAAATGAACTGGAAAGATCTGGGATGTCAATGAATTTTTAGCAGATTTAATTATATATTTAAATGGGAATGAAGCTCCCAGAATGGCAGTACGAATGTGAAATTGTTTATCAATTCTAATCTACTCATGTGTGTATTGTTTTCAAAAGTATCAGTAAGGATGTTAAATTAGAATTCCTACTGCCATGCAATGTACCATATTAAGCACAGTATGCACACTTAAAATACTGAAATATACATAGTAATTAAATTCTCTTTATCTGCTTTTAGAGATTAGTTGACAATTCTGAACCATCATGTATGGAAGTATGAACTTTAAAATTTGATTAGTATGAAAATACAGGATGCTGTATGAGTTTTTTTACATAATCTGATAATAAGAGTAAGTACTGCTTAAGATTTGAGGTTTTTATGGCTATGAAGATTACAGTCTTCTGGGATGTGACATCATATACCCTGTAGATGAAAGCAGGAACTTACTGTGAAACATGTGTAATAAACTACTTAACTGCATAGCATCATGTCACAGAACACAGTAGTCTTCAAAATCAAGCATATTCTTCTCGCCAACCAGATATTAGCTACTGATTGGTTCTTTCTTTGTACCAGGGGTGGAAATGGATTTTCGGAACTACAGGGATGCTAATGTTTGGAACTAGATAGACACTGCATTTCAGTAGAAAAGCCTGGGAGAATTACCAACACCTACTAACAGAAATTATTGTAATGTAGGCTCATGAATTTGTTCCTACATATATCGTTTGAAATTAGAGTTAGGGTGTCTAAAGGTGCTGGAAATAGTTTCCTCAAAATGAAGCTTTTTGAAACTAAGTGGACTGTGGCTATCCCAATTTCCAGCCCTGCTTTGCACCTTTGGTCATCAAATGTTTCATGACTCAGTAATAATACTTACTAACCTTCTAAATCAAATACGAATATGTGATTTGCAAAGAATGAAGGAGAAATGACTCCAGCAGAAATGAAATTTGTCATTGATATGATATAAATAAGCAGTTAAACACTCAGCTACCTTTAAACCTGCAGCTGAAACAGAGTCAGTTAAAAGTGTGAATTGTTTTATACGCTTTCACTTACGTTTGAAATGTATTTAATATCTCTTGTCTATATTTCCATCTCTTAATACCTTGAATACAGCAATAAATTAATAATTAAGGTTGGTTTTTTCACTGTCCCTTTCCATGGTAAATGTATTCAGTGAAACCTACAGCGATCATCTGTGTGAAGGGTGTTCAACGTTTTAGAGACTTTCTCTGCCTCAATCATTAAAAATTGATGTGATGAGTAACATAACAGCAAACTATATTTGAACCCCCCCAAAAAAGGATGCTCACAGAGCTCACAGACTCAACACTGTAAATGCAAATGTTTCCTATTAAAGGCCAAACAGTGAAGCTACTTCAAGACTAAGATTTGGTCATGAGTGTCTGAATGGGCTCTAAATTAAGAGAAAGTGACTGGCCAACCGTCAGTCGTAAAATGACTTTGAAACGAAGCAAGTAGTAAAAAGGAATTTTGTAAAAGTAGAAACGAAGCGGTTGGATATGTGGAAGACGAAGGCGAATCGTCACAACCATGGCGGTCCTTTGCTAAGGCACTGGAATGTGGTATAGAACAGGGGTCTCCAAACTTTTCCAACCGCAGGCTACATTAGGTAATTCAGCACTTTCAACGGGCCGGATAAAATGAGAAATTAATAACTGTAGGTATATGAGTTTTATTGAAAGCACAGAATTTCATAAACTAAATACAAAGTACGTGAGAATAAATTATCATATATTAATGACAACAGACAGTAGCAACAAATGCTCATATTTTCATCACAAATTATAATAAAACAATTAATGTGAATGATGGAACTCTTTTTGCATTCTTAAAATCTGATTAAATTGAGGTTCAAATTTTGAAACGCTAATCACAAGTAGCGACTTTAAATGTTCATCGGATAAATTTGCCCTGTATTTCGACTTGATGTACTTCATCTGGGAAAAAAGTTTGTTTACAAAGATATGTCGTCCCAAAAATGGAGATAAATTTACAAGCAAATTTATTTAAATTTGGAAATTGCTCACAGTTCAGAAATTTATAAAATTCGATCAAATTTCCTTCCTTGTATTTGTCTTTAATATGATAATTTTCCTGAAGTTCAATAGTTTCCATTTGAAGTTGACATCTGCAGCATCACAGTCAAACGGATTTTGAAACAATCTAATTTCCTGAGCACTGAATCCAAATCATCAAATCGCTTCCGAAATTGTTCTTTCAAATCTAAAATGACTAAATTTGCAAATGAGGAAGGAAATTCTGCTTCACCCTTTTTATGCAGCTCTGCACAGTATTATAGCATATGAACAAAGTTACAATTTTTCGCTTGCCTTTCCAGAAGTATGAACTTTGCTCTGAATGCCTTGATAAGTGCAAATAAATCACAGAGTAAGTTATTTTCAACCTGCAACTTTAAATTCATATGGTTCACCAGATCAGCAAAACTGCTAATTTCCAAAGCCACTTGGTATCTGATAAAAGTGGTTCGTGATAGTTTTTCTCGGTAAGATAATATCAGTTTCATTCCTGAGCTGAAAGAAGCGCGAAAGAACCTTTCCACAGCTAAGCCATCGAACTGCAGTATAATATGTCGGGTCAATAAGCTCGGAATCGCATTTACCAGTACTCACTGGAAAATTAGTTAAATTGGCGCATTTCTGCACAATTCTTTCACGGGCCGGATAAAATCACATCGCGGGCCGTAGTTTGGAGACCCTTGGTATAGAAGATACGTGGTTTGAAGACATGAATATTTTTGTGAGGAAAAAAATTAAGTAATTTGTGCATGTAGGAAGCAAGTCGTACTATGTGAGGTAGGTGATGGTAACAAATGTGTATAAATCTGGTGGTACGTGGGTAAGACATTGGCGTAGTATTGGGAAGGTACCGGGTTCGAGACCACGGTGTCTTTTGTCAATAAAAATTGAAAGGTGAATAAATAAATACGATTTTTCTGCAGCAATCAACCAAGTCGTAGAATATGAGGAGGACCGCAGAAAGCGGTAGCATAGATGTTCTGGTGGTCTAGAAGTAAGGCACCGGCGTTGTAACAAGAAGGTCCGTGGTCCGAGACCACGAGGATTTTTGTAATTAGATTTTTTCTGGAATTATATAGCGAGATGTAACGTAAGAGGAAGATTAAAGGTAAAAAATTTCTGTGGCTTTGGTGGCCTGTTGGTAACGCACCGGCGTAGTAAAGAGGAGTTCGAGACCAACGATAGTTTTATGATTTAGAAAGTAAGTTAATATGATTTTTCTGGAATTAAAACCGAAGATGTGCTTAAGAGGAAGATCGCAGAAAATAAATTTCTGTGGTGCTGGTGGTCTAGGGCAAGGGTCTCCAAACTACGGCCCGCGAAAGAATTTTGCAGAAATGCGCCAATTGAGCTAATTTTCCAATGACTACTGGTAAAAGAAATACTTGTTCATAGATTTCAAATTCATTAATTCAGATTGTGTTTAAAATATATTGATATTCCATATTATGTTAATATTAATATTATTCACAATTTTACTAATTCTGGACCGTATACTGTGCGGTATTTCTTCGTATTTGTTCGGCCTCGATCGGCAGTGTCTCTTCGTGGCAATGTAGGTAGCGCGAGCAGTTCGTTACTAGCCGTCTTGTGCACAAGACTTCTTGCAGTGGTGCAGTATAATTGTAACTGATCATCACCTCAATTTAATCAGATTTTAAGAATGCAAAAAGAGTTCCATCATTCACATTAATTGTTTTATTATACTTTATGATGAAAATATGAGCATTTGCTGCTACTGCCTGTTGTCATTAATATACGATAATTTGTTCTCACGTACTTTGTATTTAGTTTATGAAATTCTGTGCTTTCAATAAAACTCATATACCCAGAGTTATTAATTTCTCATTTTATCCGGCCCGTTGAAAGTGCTAAATTACCTAATGTGGCCCGAGTTTCGAAAAGTTTGGAGACCCCTGGCATAGAGGAACAGCCATCCACCAACACTCGTGCCATTGCCAAGATTGTGGGGACATCAAAATCAAGTCTTTGGAGTGAGCCATATATTCTACTTATGGTTCCGTTCAGCGGCTTCTTTCCCAACCCCCCCTCCCACCCAATCCTTTCCTTTTTCTCTTTCCCAGGAAGTTCTACTGTTCCGGAACTTGCCTACCACGTGACCCCCCCTCCAGCTGTTGTTAAGATCTAGTGAGTAGGAAGGAGAACTTTACTTGTTGTATAGCAGTCGCAGAAGAAGGTAACATCACTCCTTGGGGGTTGAGAGGACTGTTTTGGAGGCACTCGGTGATTAAGTCAGAGAAGCAGATAGCTAGGGGTTGTTTGGGCGTGGCCAGCCTAAATTTGGTTTGAGTTCCTTTTCTTCTGACTGAAAAAAAGGGTTATATTTCTGGGACGAGTCGTGGCTAAAATTGTGTTTTCTTGCGACTCATGTATTATCATTTTTTGCCGACCTTCTTGGTCTATTGCCCTCGAAGTTTAAGCAGGGTGTATTTGACATATTAACTTGTGTGCTTATACTTCTCGCGAGGTGGTTTTTGATGAATAATCATAAGGGAAAGGAGTGGCTCGCCGTCAACGCAGTGAGTGAAATTCTGGTTCGAGTTTCATTTTCGTTACCATGTTCTTTTGGTCGAAATTCAAGTTCGATGTGATTGTTGATGAAAAAGGGGCGTGGACGGGGAGAGGGGCCCCTCCCTAAATACGCGACATAACTGTTCAAAGTCGCGAAGATAGAAATTGCATTTTTATTGTGTGTATTATATTGGTGGTTTGTCTGTCATATTAAACATATGTAAAAGTGTTAACTGGAGCTTTTTCTGGGCTACTGCAAGTCAAGAACTACAGCTTTGACACCCCACCCTATCTCGGGGGCAAAGAGGCATGAGAAGCAACGTAGAGGAACCAGGGACGAAAGCAGCGTCTCTCCGTTCTAGTTAGGTTAAGAGGGGATGGGCAGCTCAGGATGATCCTGCGCGACCAACAACTTTATCCGTATCATCCAACGCGAGTACACGACGCAGGCCCAGCTGACTTCGTACCACGAATTCAATTTTGTCAGTGGATACTGAACCAGTGTTTACATCAGCCCAACTCCCTGAATCACGTGTTATTCACAGACGAAACGCAGTTTACAAGGGATGGCTGGTTCAACTGTCGAAACAGCCACGCTTTGGCTGACGAAAACCCCAACGTTACTGTAGTTGGTTACCACCAGGCGCAATTTTCTGTCAGTGTCTGGGTGGGCATCATTGGCGATCACTTGATTGGGCCTTTCCTCCTACCACCGCGACGCAATGGGATCTTTTACAAGGCGTTCCCTGAACGTATCCTTCCGACTTTTTGATTGTGCGGAGGCAAATGTGGATACAGCATGACGGAGCGCCGGCACACTTCAGCATTGTATCACGAGACTACCTGGATCCTGTTTTTCATGGGCGTTGGATAGGAAGAGGAGGCCCAGTGCCTTGGCCACCCCGATCCCCAGACTTGACACCTCTGGACTATTTCGTCTGGGGCCATGTGGAAAAGCCTGGTCTACGACACGCCTGTGGATAATGAATTCGAGCTGTTGGCCAGAATACTTGTTGCATGTGACGTGATCCGTGAGGCACCTGGAATATTTGAAAGGGTGCGCCAGAGTTTCTTTCGTCGATGTAACGCATGCATTGAAAATGGAGGGCGCCAATTCCAACATCTGCTCTAGCAGGTGAGTCTTAAGAGTTTGGAGGGCGTAATATGCCTGTGCATGCTCTTCGGCATTAAGGCGCCAAGTTTAAACAAAATGATATTAAATGCCGCCCTGGCACTGCTATTTTACGTTTGCGGACATGGGTTCCTATTTCAAAATTCTTCTATAGGGAACCCTCAGTACGCTCCTGAAGTACGGCACCGAACTCCCGGGACACCCTGTATTTAAATGGATATTAGAGATATAGGATGGGATGGTACGGATTGGATTGATCTGGCTCAGGTTAGGGACCAGTGGAGGGCTCTTGTGAACACGGTAATGAAACTTCAGGTCCATAAAATGCAGGGAAATTCTTGAGTAGCTTCAGGTTTGGCTTCTCATCAAGAAGGGCTCAGCTCCGTAAGTAAGTAAGTAGTACAGTGCCAGTGTGCGGGGTTGCGCTGGCAGCGTACGGTTCCGGAAGACTGTAGGAAGCTTAACACCTTGTGGTTCAGCCAATGACGAACGGAAGCATCCATCTTGTTGCTATACAGACAATTTTCTATTGATGACATTCGTTTAACAGCAATTTGAGTGTCATTAATAATAAGAAAATTGCAAAATCGCCTTTCGTCGGGGATTTATTCCAGTCACTAAAAGCTTCTACAATTGCGAGGCTAGCTGTGTGTGTTAAGTGGTTGCCTCTTCCACGCAAAAGTGACTGGCATAAACCAGGGAACAGAGTTCATGCGTTGAAATTTATCGCTGGTTCTTCAAGCGCTGAAGTGACGCATTTCTCTAATCACACATACTTGCTCTTAATTTAAGGTAGATGCCTTCTTAAAACAAAAGTCATTACAATCAACACCGAAAATGCCATCGTGATGAATCTGTAAATTATATTTACAAATTCATCACTGTATTACAATTATTTTACATTATTTGACAGTATGCTGTGTTTCCTCACTAGCCGGAAGTTCATCTACAACCACAAATGGTGTGTGCACTCAGTTCTTCCTTAGCTTCCAGAGTGAAGCAGCCCGCTCCCTATATTCACACATGCATACAAATAAAATAATTTTGTCAATTGTGTTACCATAACAAACAAAAAAAAAAATATACGCTCTGGGCTGTGAAACTCGCCCGGTTTCCATTGGCAGCCGGAGGTGGAGTGCGCGAGCAGAGCGCACTCATCATTTTGAGTTGTTTCTATTATCGTTCACGTTAGGTTTGGTTTGGAGAAGGGGGGGGGGGCGGAACTGCGTTGGTTCAACCTTATCGGAAACTTCTGAAAATGTTACAGGACGCTATGTGAGCCAACAATGCCAACGAACATTGGTTTCCTTAAAAAGCCATGCTCCCAAATAGAATTCGAGAACTGGTCATGTAACAAAATAATTTTATGACTTGGAAATGATTGTGGGTGTAGTGAAAACTCATTCTGTAATGTTGAATGTTTTTTAAGAACATTCATTTGGAAAAAAAACCAGGCTGGAGTTCTTCCAATATGTTTGCAGTTTATATACTGCTATGCTTAAACTGGAAAATTTTGCATCATTAGAGGTGGGGGGGGGGGGGTTAGGCCATTTGTTAGCATGTTCAGGATCAGTTGCAGGGAATTTCTTGAAAATATATGGGAGAATGAAAATCCTCAAATTTCATTAACTACGTTTGTCTTTCAGGAATTCTATTTCCATTGAATTGTTTGAGATTTTGGTCTGTGTTTGGCATGATGGAAAAGGGATGAATTTCATATTCCCGCCCTACATTTTTTTATAATATTAGGACTCAAGCTGTAACTTTTCCATTTTTAAATTCTCATCTTTTCAAAAATTTGTAGGAGTGTGTCAAGGGTGGGGGTACTAGCACTTTTACTAGCACATTCTGGATCAGCTGCAGCCTGCTTTAGAAAATGAGGACAATAAATTAATTAGATCGCTGAAGGACCGATACTTTTGTTTCAATATCAATCAGTTTATTAATCATTATATGTATTTCTCTTTCAGATATTCTAATAGATTTTGATTGAATTGCTCCAGGCCCCCCTCATTGACCCTATGGTTCATAGTGCCCAGGGTGTGAAACAAGGAAAGTTGCATACAGTTCAATTATCTTCCTAAAACTGACACACTGTGTAGCAAAAATTTCATTCTAATAAATTGGAACACCAAAATGTTTTAGATGTTTTCATCTGCTGTTAGAATTATGTACTCCTGAAGAACAAATAAATTTGTGTCAGCATACTGAGATTACAGTCTTTTAGGATGCAATTCTGAATGCCTATTGGTAGATAGGCATCAGTGTTTTCAGAGAAATCTGCTGCCTTAAACCTCAAAATGGAAAATGGAGGCAACAGATCCTCTGAGATGTTTGTTCACATCTATTAAGCTGCACAGTATCACGTACCAGGAGACCATAACTTTAATACTCACTGCCATGAGAACCTCAAATTTAGTAAATGTTAGCTACCACACTGAAACATTGTATAATATCAGACTGTTAACATATGTTTACACGGGAGGCAAGATAGTGCAGTTGGTATAGCAACCGGCTACTGGATGGATGACCAAGGAGATCAGATTTCAACTCCTGGTACAGTTAAGAATTTTCTCCTCTCCACATCATGCAGATAAGTTCTGGGGTCCACCCAACCTTCCTATCCAATGGGTACCAGGGGCTCTTTCCCTGGGGGGTAAAGTAGCTGGGGCGTGAAGCTGACCACTCACCTCCAACTAGTGCCAAAGTCAAGAAAACGTGGATTTATACATCCACTCCTCCATACGCCTTCATGGATTAGTGCTTAATTAGTTAAGCACAGGGACAATTTTACCTTTTACATAATGTTTACTAATTATGTAACATGGAGGCACTAGAGTGAGCAACAGCTTTTTATGGTTTACCTGACGTGAAGTCATGAAGACCAGACATTTATTTTATGCTTCTTATCCAAAGCAACATTGAAATGTGGTCACACAGTGGTATGAAAGTTAACAATATCCATGCTGCTGAGTTTTTGAAATGTTCAAGCTCAGATTAACTATTCTTTCTTAATTCTTATTTGAACTGCAGGCTGGTTGCAATTCTTGCCTGAACCAATGCAACTTTTCTTGGCTAAACAGGGTACTTTATTTAAGTAATACAGAAATTTACTGAATGTTTCAGTTGAATGTGCAGCTCTTGTGTTTCACATTCTGAAAGCCCTGGGTTTGAAGTCCTGGACTAGAGATCAGACATCCTTACCATGGTTTTCTGTTGTACTGCTCTGTCACTGCAGACAGACAATATTTCCCAGTTCATTATTTACCCCACATTATATAATTTCATGATCTATAGTTTAGAGTTACTGAAACTGTTGTTAAATAAACCAAAAAACACCAGGACATTAATTTATGCTATATGTGCCTGTTAAAATGTTTTTGCACACATAATTTAGTCCAGATTTTGAGACCCTCTGACAACAAATTTTCCATGTTCTCAGAGAGGCTGGAGGGTGACTGAGAACCAAATAATGCAGGATTGCAAGGAAATGGACGCGTGCTGGAGTTCAATTCATACATATTTCATTAATTAGTATAGGGGAAGAAACTCCATTGGAGGTGGAGGAAGATTCAAGACAAAACATTGCAAGACAAAAGCCTACAAGAAAAGCAGTATAGGGTAATTCTAAATTATTTTCCGGATTTCCATTTATAGGCTATGGAAACCCCGTATACTGGATGTGAGAGTTTCAACAGCATTGATTATAGGTTACCATAATCCTGGAAATGTTACCACATAGTATAAATTTTTTACTATGTTACTGAAGTAAAAACGAATTCAACATACCAATGGAAATGTTAGTGAGATAAGTCATGGCTGCGCCATAGCTCAAGCGGTTAGTTGATGGCTTCCCAACGCGGTGGCCTGGGTTTGATCCTGGGTCTGGTCAAGTGGAATTTGTGGTGGACAAAGTGGCACTGGGGTAGGTTTTCTCTGAGTGCTTCGGTTTCCCCTGCCATTCATTCCACCAACTGCTCCACAATCACCCTCACCTATCATCTGGAGCTGGTACAGTAGGCCAGAAGTGGCCGCAGTACAAGGGACTTAGTCTCACCCCACTAGCAATAAAAAAAAAAGATAAGTCATAAAATGTACTCTGTGAAACTGATGTGCAAGATAACCTTAAAATATAATTCTCTAAAAATGTTCATATATTCATGAAAATAATTCTCCTTTCAGGTCTTGGATCAGGTTGACCAAGTATGTAATAGTGCAGATGGAGTAACACCCATACATAACCAGTGTAGCTACAACTAAGAGCCAACCATTAAGAGTGTCCTTGTCATGTCAGAACTGTAGTCTGTGTTGGGATTTACTTACTCCATCCTGGTCCACGTGGTGAGTTCTGTACCTAATTTAAACTAAGTGCAATATAAGAAACTAAAGAACAGTAAGTTATATTAACCGTGAAAAATATATCTCCCATGATGTGAAGCCGTGTAGTCTGACAGAAATTTCAGGTGGTGGTACCCTTCATAGCAGCTGTCAGAGAACCTTGGATCCATTATATTAATCTTAATCAACTAAGAATATGAAATTTTAAGCCCTAAGGTATTATGAGACTAGCAGCCCAGTTACGTGTATAACTTGTCGACATTCACTGTTGAAATAGTTAGATGCATGGATGATAAAGGTTAATATAAACACTATAAAAATTATTTAATATCATATATATATATTTATTTATAAGTAAAAGGAAGATGATTGTATAAAATATGTTTGAAATCTAAACATTATCAATTAGCCTGATTACATCAGGAGCCAGCAATAATATAATAATAAAAAAGGAATTTGCATAAAATGTATAACAGTTGTACATAAAGATTCATAAATTTCTATCTCATGAATCTATTGCTACCAATTATTATACAAGTAATTATTTGTAACATACATTTAGCTTATAACATTTATCAAACAATGGCACTTCATGGCACTCAGGGTATGTGAAAAAGAAAAACGTGAAAAACACTTCCAACTGCATAATCATCAGGCACTAGACAGAAACCCTCTAGAGTATTCACATGCAGCAAACTCTCGATTATCTGCTGTAATGAATGGGATATGTGAATAATTAAAACCAATCAATAATACAAAAATCACGAAATAACCCACTATCCATGTTGGAATCACCCTTTAAAAATCAATCATTACTCACTGCTAATGCTGTAAATGGCAAGACAAATGTTTTTCCGGCAGGGGAAAGCAACTCCTATCGAGTGGCAGGTGGTACATCAAGTATTGAAATGATGAAGTAGAAAATATGCAGACTGCTCAGATGTAAATTGTAAAACATCAGATGCAACAGACATTTAAATCATGGAACACTATAATCAATACCTAGGTTTATAAGGTAAAGTTATCCCTGTAACAAGCCGTGCAGGTCCATAGGGTTGTGAGACGTCGAGGCTCCCACATTTTCTAGCCAATCAGCTCGCAGATGTCAGTGAGGTTGTCAGCCTTACGTGACAGCAGTCCTTTACCCCCCAGGAAGATTCCTGGTACTCATTTCTGTTAAAGGCTGAATCGACCCCAAGGCCACAGTGCGGATGGAAGGATTATGCAAATTGGGAAAAAAAAATCCACCTCATTGGGACTCAAACCCGTGACATTTCAGCTTGTAGCATAGTGTCTCAACCAACTATGCTATCGCATGCCCCCAGTCAATACCTAGGATTAGCGTTATATAGTCTTTGATACTGACAGTGTATTTAATTAACCAACTTGAACAAACCAAAAGGTTCTAGAAGTGGCCCTGTTATATCCACATGCAGATAATCATGAGTTGACTGTAACAGCATTGATAATTTCCTTACATAGACATCAGAAAGCACTTTCCTTGAATGAACATTACCATCTTCTGCAATGTGACAGTGTGTAGTGTTGTGGATCATTACTGTTGTTTCTGAAGAGCATGTAACTTCATCTTTACGTCAAAACAGTAAGCCATGCATGGGGAAAACAAAGTACTGCATAAATAAGTTTTGCTCAGACCTCTGGTCCTATCTTTTCCTCCACCTGCAACATGTTCCCATGCTTGGCTTTTCTTATGGCAGAAGGTATTCAAGATGTCGTTAACTATCCATAAGAATAAGAGGTGTTACATCCCAGAAGACAGCAACCTTCAGTCATTTTTATGGGAACCTCAAACCTAAAGCATTCAGAATCTGTGTCTGCAAAACATATACAGTACAGTATCTCACATAACACCATACTTCATAGTAAAATTACACCACCAATGTGTGCATATCAACTTGTATAAAAACAAAGTTTAACTACTTATACTATATCTGTTAATTTAAAAGTATATTTAGATTTATAACGTGATGAACAGTTTTATTGATCACTTCTTCGAAACAGGTGTACAGCGTGATAGGAAGCTGCAATTCAATAACAGGATGCCATTTCATTCGTATTCTGTTATTTGGGATAGTTGGCAGGAAGGCTTTTCTGCTGGTACACACATACCAGCAAAGGACAGGCATGTACTGCTAAATCTGTCAGAAGTCGCATACCTGCCAGTATATTGAAATGTTCTGACCTTGAGGTTAAAAGCAAGTGTCAGGTACTGGCAAATACAATTTTAGGAAAACTGAAACCTCTGACTGGAAGACGTATCACTCTCCAGTTCCATACTAGGACTGAACTCGACTCCTTGGTGGTTTGATACTGCTAATACCAAAGGCAACTTCAGCCAGTTCATCTTCCTGCCTCATAACCTATTTCTCTACATTCAATAAGCCTTCAGGCTTAGGGTGGTTCTAAACTGATCTCAGGTAATTTCCTCTCTGAACTGACACAGCTTATCACCTTGACAAATCTTAATGTTATCCTTAGCATTCAATGTTGCTGTTTTCAGAGAGGTTCCTCTACAAGGATTCTGAATATATTCTTTCTCTCTCTCTCTCTCCCTACCCCAGTTAATAATATCCAGCCCTATGCAGCCTCACAGATTTCAATACATAATGTAAATCATAATGAAAAATATATTCCTCTTCGACATTCATAATTATGTAATTTGCATTTTATTATAGATATTTTAATCATAACACTTGGATACGACAATTTAGGATCTGGTGAACAGTAAACAATGATACAGCAAAATCTCCGTTTAATATTCATCAGTTTTCCCTCAATGTCCATTGTCCCTGCCTCAGTTTAGTGTTCACATCCACTGCTTGCCAAAGGAATCTTAAATACAGGTTTCAGCATATATGGTTACTTTGTGTGGGTAACACATGGGGAATGCAGCTCGACAGAGCCACACTACAGGCAGGACCTGTAGCATAAAAATGTACCCCTTGCCTGGTAAGAACCCCTACCCAGGGTTACCGTGATCTTAGTACAAGTGAACTCTGAGCAGAGCTGAACATAGTCCTAAGGAAGGTACAGGCCACGCCTCTGGGTTGTGTGAGAAGCAAGAAAGTAGCAGGGCAGTGTCTGCAGCTGCACTGTGGGGGACGGGGAGGTAGGGGGTGACACACAGTAACTAAGACTGTTATATATCCCCCACACCTTAAAATCCTTATCTCAGTTAGTGGACCTGATCAGATCCATGTCAAATTCTGTTGACAATGGCCAGGTCTAAGAACATACAATGTAACTGTAACCAATAATCCTGCCTGCCCCCTCCCCCAGAGTACGGGGGTTACTGACAGGACGATTTCTTAATACACAGGGTGGGGTCAGACTAAGTGCACTAGGTATGCTGGCCACTAATGCGCCTATTGTACCAAAGACTAGTAAGGAGCAGTCAGTGGAATGAGAACAGGCAGAGGAAACTGAAGTACTCAGAGAAAACCTACCCCAGTGCCACTTTGTTAACCACATGATCCCACATGACCTGGTGTGGGTTTGAACCTGGATCACTGTGGTGGGAAGCCAGCGGCTTCACTGCTTGTACTGATAAACACTTAATGTAAAATGAAACACTCATAACCTTCAATCCAGAATTAAAATTTAGGGTATTGCAGACATTTAACTACCTCATGGCATGGAGAGTGGTGGGGAATGAAGACGTCTGCCCCCCTCCCCACAGGATTCCTTAAAAAGAATCATAATTGAAAAAAGAAGGAAATATGCGACATATTAATGCCAAAAACTGGAAGTACTTCTTAAATAATTATTCTCCCATCCTGAATACTCTAGGGCAGTAAGTAAAAATAGTCTTTAAACTAATTTGAACTCAAGTCTGTAAGCAATGTTTTTGTTCCCCTGACTCAGTCAATGTTTCAGGGGGTATGAAGCACAGAAGGTTTATGAACTGTTAACAACAGTTATCTGCATAAACCTCACTAACAAAATGGCATCACATAACTAGTGACCTCATGTTTCATTCAATTTCACTGACCTCTCCTATAGCAGGAAGCTGGACACAGACACGGCATTACAAGGGAACTAAACCATAGTGAGGTCAGAGGTCAGCAGCTGAACACTGTTTCCGAACTTCTTCGACTTCCTGTCTAGTTCTGTTAAACGCCTCCGTCTTAACAAAGTCCACGGTTTTGTATACGGTGCTTGTTGACTGTACACGTTCAGGTGATTTGGGGATCTGAGTTGTTGATGATGTTGCACTTGTTGCGTCCCACTCGAGATCCAAGTCCAAGTATTGTAATTCCTGAAACCTGGTTACTGGTATAAATTTATCGTCATGTTGGTAGTAGTATATCTGTAACAGACAAAAAGAAACATTTGTGCGATCTAAGGTTCTCTCACAGCGATGAATATTTGTTCTGGAATGTGACACTGTATAGTTTGGTATATTGGTATTAACTTCTAAGAGGAACCTATTACTTCTGTCTCCCATATGGAAGAAGCAGTTTCCTCTGAAACACTTGTACCCATCTACCAAACTTCATAGTGTCACATCTCAGAAGACCATAATCTTAAAATAGCAATTTGACTCAGAGCTGTTTCCCTATATAACAGTAAAGTGCAGAACAGAGAACTCCCGATAATCACAATATCAACTGTTCCATGATCAAACTGGATACTGGAATTTATGGAAGGACGAACCATGTTTAAAAACATATATTTGAAGGAAACTGAGGATGTTTGGGCACAGGGTGATGGGAAGGTTTACTTTTATTTGAGGGATAAGTAACAGTGGGGGGGGGGAAGTGCTTGGGGCATGAAGCTGACCATTCACCTCCAGCAAGTGCCAACGTCAAGAAAATGTGGATCTATACACCCACTCCCACATATGGTTTCATGGCGTAGTGCTTAACCACTTAAGCACAGGGACAACTTTACCTTTACTTAAGATGGGGGCATTTACATTCCCTCCATTTCCCTATACGTCATTCCTGGCACAGTGCTTCACTCTTTTACCAGCCACAGTATTTTCACAGATTACCTTCAAATAGCCAGGGGGGCACGCAGTAGCGTAGTTGGTTGAGGGGCTATGCTACAAGCCACGATGAGGTCATTGGATTTTTTTCAATTGACCTAATCCTTTAAGCCACATTATGGCCCTGGGGTCGACTCAGTTTCTAACAGAAATGAGTACCAGGACTTAATTAAATTATTTTCCTGGGGAGTAAAGCGCGGTCAGTGCGTAAGGCTGACAACCTACTGCCATCTTTGAGCCGACTGTCTAGATAATGTGGGACCCTCAACGTCTCGCCTTCATGGCCTGTTACAGGGATAGCTTTACTTTTTTTACCTACCTCTAAATAGCCAAAGGTATAGAAAACATGAAAGCCTGTTTTGAATTGTTTCATTTTTGGTCCGTTACACTATCAATCACAAATTGTCAATGAAAAATCTGTCGAGTGTAACAATGTTTTTAGGTCACTTATTTATCTCACTTGCCTTACATGTTTCGGTTCAAGAGAAACCATCATCAGAGGCACGTATTACAAACACATGAAAACACTGGCGTTGTTTAATGTACACAGTATGTAAGCTGCGTGGACGCTGTTACAGATGTCGAAGTGTAAAAGCACAACACTTTCTAGTAGCATTGAATGCACGTACAACTCTTGCATTCATTATAGTGTGTTATAGCGTGAACATATAAGAAGTATAAGATTCAATAAAAATGACTCAGCCTATGCTCAACATATCTTAAATAGACAACATCAATACGGCCCAATTTCGCAAATCATGGAACTGATTGAAGTGGCAAGGAAAGGTAAATTAATGAATATAAAGGAAGAATATCAAATTTACCGCCACTATAGGGATAACAAATTAATAGATGAGCAGAAACAGGCAAAAGAGATCAATAACCAGAACAGCATGTTCGACCTCATTACTACTTGTATAAACACACCCCCTACCACGTCATAACACACAAGGCTTTAAATAACACTGACGTAGAACTCCCACTGCAGTACACAACACACAACGCGTAAGAAACATCCGACCATAAGGTAAGCAAGGATCAAATACAACACTAAGCAAAAATAAATTAAAATTAAATATATAATAATATATAAAACCTAATGTAATACAATATCTTTGCAGCCTACATAACCTCAAGTTGACATTTCCCATCATCGGGACGAATCAACAAGAAGGAGCTGAACATTTTACTTTAAATGTTTTAAACTTTTAAATATTTTAACATTGACGGCTCAATTTGAGGGCAATTTTCAGATGGAATGCAAGAGTTGTACGTGCATTCAATGCTACTAGAAAGTGTTGTGCTTTTACACTTCGACATCTGTAACAGCGTCCACGCAGCTTACATACTGTGTACATTAAACAACGCCAGTGTTTTCATGTGTTTGTAATACGTGCCTCTGATGATGGTTTCTCTTGAACCGAAACATGTAAAGGCAAGTGAGATAAATAAGTGACCTAAAAACACTGTTACACTCGACGGATTTTTCATTGACAATTTATGAAAGCCTGCTTTTGCCTCTAAATAAACATTGAGATATCACATGTAATGCCATCTACTGATAGAATAGCTCTACTAAGCGATTAATATCAAACCGATTTCTTTGGTTGTGGCAATCTTAACACAAGTATGCCAACCTAATCTCATCAGTGTGTGGCATGCAAAGGGTTACATAGGGGAATCACTATATATGCAGACTCATACTGGTTCATCTGGTGAGTTCCTGTGATCGTCATCTGAGCTAGAGTTGTGTTCGGAGCGCTGCCTCTGCCCATTGCGTAACGTTGTCATTGCAGATGAAGGTGGAGTTGGACTTGGTGCCGCTCTGGATTTCTTTAAGCTGCGATTGTTTTCCGAACCTGACCGACAAGCTGGTGGAGCAGCCAAGGGTAACGGTTCTAAGAAACATTTCAAAATTATGGCATAATGAAATAAGTGCAAAATACAAAATTAACTAATTAAAAAACCAAAAGACTTACCATTTCAGTAACAACAAATGCCCACCCCTGTTACAAGTCTAGGGCCACCTTAATCAAATTCACATCACAGCAATTTTACTCCCATATAAATTGTGGTCTTCCAAATTGAATCCTTCATTGTCATTATGCAATATTTACTGTTTGCATCCTGTTGCATATCATGATTTTGTGGTATTCTGGCTGTCAACACAACAATGAAAACTGAATTGTTTACATTGGTTTTATTTAATAACTGTTACATGTTTCAGTCCACATTTTGGACCATCTTGAGGCATGTGAATAGCTCAACATCATGTAAGTAATTCACTAATACAAGATATAAAATACATATACCATAAAACCTGGGTAAGGCATGTGGTATTTTACTTCCAAATAATAAAGCAGTGAATCCAAGATAATAAGATACCTACAACGCAGGACAAAATAACAGAATTTTACGTCATGTTGAGAGAATTTTCAAATTTTTAAAATTATAAATATTTTTACAACTTCATAATAGTTATATGTACGAGGGCCATACTGAAAGCCATGAGCAACAATTTTTTTGTAAAGTAACATGCTTTATTATTGACAAACCAAATACACCACCTCAATCCACAGACCTTTCTTTATTTTTCCACATAATCGCCACTTCTTCGTACACATTTCTCCCAGCGTTCTGGGAGTTTGAAAATTCCCCTTCTGTAAAATTCTGTTCCAGCCATCTGAAGACACTGACACACTGCTATCTGAATTGCCTCCCTTGTCTCAAAACATTGTCCACGCAGCTGATCCTTCACAAATCCGAAAAGATGGTAGTCTGAGGGTGCCAGATCAGGGCTATAGGAGGGGTGTGGAAGAACTTCCCACCCCATCTTTGCAATTGCTTCCAATGTGAGGCGAGCAGCATGGGGGCGAGCTTTGTCATGCAGGATGATGATGTTTCCAGATGTTTATCATGCAATGCACGACGGAGTTTGTGCAGCATCTGGACATTATGAGCAGCCCAGGTTATGGTTTGCCCAGGTTCCAGGAATTCGGCCAGAATAAACCCCTCTGCATCCCAGAAGACTGTGCCCATCACCTTCACAGCTGATGGCATTGTAAATGCCTTCTTTTTTGATGGAGAATGCAAATGGTCCATTCCATACTCTGCCGTTTCATTTCATGCTTGAAATGGTGAAACCAGCTTTCGTCACCTGTCACAATACAGAGCAAAAAATCATCACCTTCGTGTCAATATCTCTGCAGCAGTTCTGAGGTGATGGATTTTCGCTGACCTTTGTGGTCTTCGGTCAATAACTGCGGGACCCAATGAGCACAAACTTCCCTATAGCCCAAGCTTTCAATCATCTCCTGTACTGCACTGTGCCCTATTCCAAGTTTTCGGGCTATTGTGTCCACAGTCACACGACTGTCATCTTGACTGATTTCATCCACTCTTTCCTTGTTGTGTTCAGTTGAGGCTGTTCAAGGACGACTGCTCCGAGGCTCATCTTCGATGCTGGTGTTCCCATCTTTAAAATGTTTCGCCCATCTTTGAACACTGCTCGCACCCATGCACACACTTCCATAAGCACGCTGACGTCTCTGGTGAATTTCTGCAGCAGGGATTTCCTCTTTCACAAGAAATTCGATGACAGCACGCTGGCGAAACGACATATGGTTGTCGGCCATTTTGTTGGGAGTGATACTGGTCACGTGATGCAAGCTATTGATGTCACAAGACACTCAAGGTTAACACAACAGCTGGTTCCACCTACCATCATACTCTCTTTCGTCTGCTGTTCCCAGGTTGCATGCAAAAAAAAGTTGCTCATGACTTTCGGTATGACCTACTTATATGATTATACTGTTTAACACTAATATGGATCCATATTACAATATTTCAATAACACGAGATGTATTTACTGAATCTGCCTGAAGATGATGGGGCATGTGGTAGTGTAGTTGGTTGACGCACTGTGTTACAAGCCATAATGTTGCAGATTTGAATCCTGAGGAGGCGGAATTTTTCAATTTACCTAACCCTTCCAGCTGCACTATGGCCCTGGGGTTGACTCAGCCTCTAAGAGAAATGAGTACCAGGAATCTTCCCGGGGGGGGGGGCAAAGGGCAGCTGGTGCATAAGACTGACAACCTCACCACCATCTGTTAGCCAACTGTCTACAAACAATGTGAGAGCCTCAATTTCACACAACCCTATGGGCCTTTACAGCCTGTTACAGGGATAAAAATGCAAGTAAAGGTATCCCTGTAACAGGCCGTGGGGGCCCATAGGGTTCTGAGATGTTGAGGTTCCCACATTTTCTAGACAGTCGGCTCACAGATGGTGATGAGGCTGTCAACCTTATGGCGCATAAGGCTGCCCTTTATCCCCAAGAAGATTCCTGATACTCATTTCTATTAGAGGCTGAGTCAACCACAGGGCCATAGTGTGGATGGAAGGATTGGGTAAATTAAAAAAAATTCACCTCGTAGTGAATCCATCCCGCGACCTTCCGGCTTTAGCATAGTGCCTCAACCAACATTGCTACCACGTGCCAGGGATAGATTTACCTTTTTTACATTTACCTGAAGATGGTCTCATATGTGGACCAAAACATGTAGGAGTTATTAAATAAAGCCAATGTAAACAAGTTTAAGGTCTTTCATACACATACACGGGAAATTATATAAGGAAAATTACTAAATTATTTAGGAACACAAACATAAAGATAGCCTATAAAACCAATCACACACTAGGCAAACTAGTACACGAAAGGAAAAACATCGATCCATATGAGCAAAGCGGAATCTACAAACTGACCTGCCAAAGTTGTCAAAAGGTATACATTGGCCAAACGGGCAGAAAACTGTCAACCCGATACACTGAGCACATTCGCAACATAAGATTAAATAAGGACGAATCGGCCTTCGCCCAACATATATTAAACACAAGACACCAATATGGGCCGATAACCACAGTCATGGAAATCCTCGAAACAGCTAAGAAGGGCAATTTAATGAATATAAAGGAGGATTTCCAAATATATTATCATAACAAACACAAAAAACTAATAGAAGAACAAAGACAGATAAAAGAAACCAATAATCAAAAAAACCTCTTCGAACTCATAATACAAGATTCGTACACACCCACACTAACGTCACAAACACAGGATACATAAACCACACGACACAGCACTCCTTAAGCACACAAGCATCGCAACACACAGACAAGCAACATCAACTACCGACAGGTAAGGTTATTGAACCTTAAAAGTATATACACATAAAAAACTTATATAATACAATCTAAATAAAACCACAATTTTTATTTACAGACAACACACGTCAACAACATCCCGAAGAAAAAAGACTGGGCCAAGCGGGAAAGAATTCTAGGAATTTTAAGAATTCTTACTTCAAATAACGAAACATAATTTTTACAGAATTAACGACGAATTAAATAAGAAAGCTACCGTGGTGTGTGGAAAACCTTTAGTGAACCGACACTCTCGGCAATTTTAACTATTGTAATTATTTTAATTAACTGGAACGTGGCTATTTTTAACAAAGTGAAGTTTTGTGTGTTGGTGATTTCTTTTTCTACTATAAATGCCTCTGATGATGGCTCCGTGGTGAGCCGAAACATGTAAGGCAGGTGGTGACGAGGTGGAAAACTTATAAAAGTGTCACATTTGACGGAAGGAACTTGATTGCCAATGTAAACAGTTCAACTGGTTTATTTTCATTGCTCTGTTGACAGCCAGAATACCACAAAATTATCCAATCTGTTTATGTGCAAACTGTTCAAGCAAGAATGCTTCACCATGATTTAAAATGCTGGTATCAACATATAACTTAATAACATGCAGGGCTGGAATGGAGGGTAACTTAATAGTACAAATTTTATATAACAAATGACAAGGCTTCCTGTTGTACTCTACATGAGTGTTAGATTAGTTTTTTAAAAAATATAAAATTATATCACTGTTCACCTCTTATTTTCTCATAAAAGATCACATTTTTGAAAACATGCATCCAGTCTGAGGAGTACTATATTCTGTGATGTGATGTCATGTCATGTAGTTCTGTTAAGACCTTTACCAATGTTTCAGAAGAACATCCTGCCTCAATTTTCAAGGTTGAATGAGCCAAGTAGATAACAAGCAAGCAGGATTGTTCACTTATCTTACTGGTGTACCCTGAATATGGAGGCAGTACACGTATCCGTAATGTCATTAAACTTGTGTCAGAATATGTCGTGTAACATCTCGGATAACAGTACTCTCCACAGTTTCTGTTGTGACAGCCTCTTATTCTGTTAACCACTTCAATACAATGCATGTCATCAGAAGAAACAGACTTACCTTGCTCAGGTACCTTTAATTGTGGTTTTAATTTTCGATCTACACTTGGTGGAAGATGACCTGATATGAAATGTGCAGCTGGACTCAGACTCACAGGAGATGGTTCATTTGAGACCAGAGATGCTGAGTCGGACAGTTTACGGCCTGGTTTGAGCTCACGATTTACAGCTGGTGGGGTAGGAATACTACCATGCCCAATATCTGTCCCACTTTGTACGCCCTGGGTTATGAGTGGACTAGGTAAATTGGAATAGACAGCTGCAGTTGAAGATGAGGCCAGAGAACTTGAACCATCAGAATGGGGCGATATAGGTTCCTCAAGGGTAGTGGCTCCCTCTTGGAGAGCCGACAGCGGAGGGTCACTGTGGTGGAAATCGTAACGGAACACTTCCCCGTTAATGTTGCTGGGTGCTGCATTAGTGTAACAATGGCGAGCTCCTATGGGTACTTTTCCGTCCGCGCAGTCCGCAGATGAAGTACTCGAAGGATTGTTGGCATACTGATGTGACCTTGGAAAATCATACATCTCGTCACTTACACCCACGATTTCAGTACACTGAGGTGGAGAGAGAGGAGATGGAGGCTCCTCGTTCCCATCTGAAGCACTCACACAGTCGTTAGGAGATCCCGGAGCTCCTGTCCTCTTTGCGGTGTCAGATGAGAGGGAAGCAACACTTGCTTTCCTGATGTTTCTGTTGTGTCGTGACTGTGGGGATACATTTTCTAGGTTAAGGTAGTTATGACTTGGAGCTTCTAGAAGCAAGTGGAAGGGTTTAGGCGGTCGAGGAGGGGCAACTGGTTGATGTTGCAAGTTTGTTGGAAGGCTCAACTGCCTACCATGGACACCAATGGGTCCATCACGTGGAATATTGACACTATCCACTACTGTAAGCTTCCCAAAACGTTTCACAACACTCCAAGACCCAATATCTCCTCTACTCCCCATGTCCATTTCTGCTGAACTGTCTGAAGCTTTCGTCTGGCGAATACTTTCGCCCTCTGGAAATGTCTCCCAGTTGACAGACGGTGGATAATGCAATGGTACAGTCCATTCTTCATCCGTAAATACACTCTCACCATCTGTTGCAGGGCTGTGTAAAGGTGGAGTTCCGGTAACATGCCGCAGTTCCAAGTTGGGAGGATGAAGTTTACGAGGGGAATCATAAAATGCCACATTCTCTGAAGCTACAGTACCATCAAATGGCTTGGGGGGTCTTTTAGCTGGCAAGACTGGCGTTCTAACTTGTGACACAGCACCTGTTTCACCCGTACCAATGAAACTTGCTGATCCTTGATGCTCGTCCTCTGAACACTGATTATGTTTTTGCCATGTCGTCTGTCTGTCTCTGTTAACTGTCAGGCCATATTGCGTAGTTGCAGAAATACCATATCCTGCTTGTCGAAGTATATTATTGAAGTCTTCTAAACCATTCGGACTGGAGAGAGACTTTCCAGAAATACACTCGCTGATTGGAATGTATGGACCTGAAATTGTGCTTGTGGGAGAGACTGGTGGGGATTCTGTCACTGGACCTAATACTGGATCTTGCTTCTCATTTGGTAGCGATTCTGACGTTGCCGGAGTCTCCTCATCCTCGGTAGGAGGGACATAATCATATTCTGAAATCGAAATCATTCGACCACTGTAAAATATGCAAACACATTTCTGATTCAACATTATGATCCTCTCACATGTGATAAAATGTTAGCAAATGGATAACAATGTTTCAGAATAACATCGGTACCTATTTATGAACTCAATGGTGCCACATCTTAATAGATATCAGGCTGATGTCATTGGATTTGGGGTCCTCACAATAGTGGCTGTGAAAAGTTCTGTGTTCTGGGACATAACTCCATGTAGTCTGGTGAAAGTCAACCAGCATTGCAGAGAAACATTATCTCAAGGTCAAAGAGTATATGACATAAGAAACCAGCAACAAGCAACAAAGCCTGCAGCTCACAGAGCCTACTTCATGCTGGTTTCTTTCTTGGCTTACTCTTTGGCCTTCAAGATGAAGGTAATAATGTTTCTCTGCAATGTCAGTTAACTTTCACCAGACTACACATTGTTATATCCCAAAAGACACAACCCTTGGTACTTACTGCTGTGAGAACCTCAGGTCTCATACTGGTAACTATGAGATTGTTTTAGTGGCAAACCAAATACAAGTACTATTAACATTGGTCATAACTTGTGCTTCTGAACATGAGATATGGTTTATTTCATCGCAAAACTAAAGAGCAATGTCATTAAAACCTTCTCAGGTGATTCAGCCATACTGATATGGACTAATATCCAATGTTTCAGGGATGATCTTTGCCTACATCATCATGATCTGAGATAATGGGTGATCTTTGCCTACATCATCATGATCTGACATAAGGAGTGACACACCATATAGATACATGGACATGGCTGTCATGAATTGTGTCCGCAGCCTTCTATGAGCCTTGGACTTCTTTTAAAGGTATAACTAGTCTTTTATAACCTTGGGAGTGGACAGAGGTGAATGGTACAAATTAGATAGGAGGCTGGGTGGGCACTAGAGTGACTGGACATGGTACAGTCCAGACTGAAGCTTTTGTATTGATTGTTGAGCTACCAGCCTCAACTTGTGTGTGGGATTTGAGGTTAGGGATGGTGAATATGAAGGTTTATATGTTCTTCTGGGTTGTGATGATGTCTAGTATGGTAAATGGTGATGAAGGAAGCAGGTTCTTCTGGAACCAGACTCCACAGCGTCACAACCCAGAAGACTGTAATCTTCACCATATTTGTTACTTATTAGTCCGTCATTACGGATGATGATAACTCAAGACTTAATTCATTTGACTGCTTTAAAAATGTCAGGTTTATGAGGAGTAACTTGTGTTTTTATTTTTAACAGTCATCTTAGGCCAGTGTAATACAAACATAAAAAAGGGTAAAGTAGTCCCTGTGCTTACATTTTCTTGACCTTCGCACTAGTTGGAGGTGAGTGGTGAGCTTCAAGCCTCTGCCACTTTACCCCCTGGGGAAAGAGCCCTAGTACCCATTGGATAGGAGGCTGAGTGGGCCCCAGAGCTGGTCTGGACAACATAGAGAAGAGAAAATTCTTTACCCTACTGGGGCTCAAACTCCGACCCATCGTCCAGTCCACAGCCAGTTGTTATACTGAATACGTCATCCTGGCTCAAATAATACAAAGATATATGCATAAAATTTAGCTGAAGATACTTTCGGATTATTGACCGACATACCGTCCTCATCTTTGTATGCTTTGAGTCCACATACGTGACAAACATATTCAACCCATTTGTTCATGTCATCCTCGGACTCCGCCACCAAGTAGTAAACTCGTTTTGGCGTCTTCACATCAAACATGTGCTGGTATTTCTGCTTGCGATTCTCAAACCTCAGACCAGCGTCAACCTGGAACACAACAGGAAATTCTTATACTTTCTGCCCTGTAGTTTACTTTACCACACTATCAGTATCCAGCCTTGATATGGTACTGTGGGTGACTGATGAAATGGGAAAGATTTCAAACGAAGTGGCCATGACCTAATCAAAGCACTAATCTGTCTGGTGGGGTGGAGGAAAATCATGAAAAACTGCAAGCCAGGATAGCCAATGTCTGGCCATGAATCGAACCTTCTGAGTTGAAGTCCAGGCTGCTGCTGGTGCTGCAGCTATGCCAACCGGCTGATTCTGCTGTCTGCCATTAGATGGCAATGTGCTCATATTTAATTCCTTGGTTAGCTATAAAGCTATATAAATTATTCTATTACCACAGTTTAATGAGGTGAGCATGACTTATGAGAATTCAGCATTAATAAAACATCACAAATATTTAGAATATCATGTATGAGACTACAAAGTCTATCCTTCAAAATATACATAAAAGTTTTTAAGTGCGATATCATCATTATGCGATTTAAGGTTACCATAGCAGGTCATGAACAGTCTTTTTGTTTTTACATGTCATGTCTGTTCTGTGAATAACTGATAATGTTTTGGTGCTGATATGTGAAGTGTTGGGTGTACTATATAAAGGAGACAGTCTACGATTGACTATTTCTGCGTGTCATTAACCGTGAGCCTTCGCTTAATAATGTAGTAGTTGAAAGGGAAGTGGGAGAAGAGGGGGAAGTTAGAGTACAAAAGTTTACATAACAAGACTTTTCATTTGCTTTAGTAAACCTGAAATAAATAAATAAAACACAACACAGAGTTTACAAAGTGTACAAAATTATAAGTTGTAAGTATATATATTTATAACATAAAGTAAATTTTGCATATCTGTACATGAAGTTATCAGGGACTGGACACAAGGCAAAGGTAAAGTTATCCCTGTAACAGGCCATTAAGGCCCATAGGGTTGTCAGATGTCAAGGCTGCCACATTTTCTAGACAGTCAGCTCACCGATGGCAATAAGGTTGTCAGCCTTACATACCAGCCGCCCTTTGCTCCCCAGGAAGATTGCTGGTACTCATTTCTATTAGAGGCTGAGTCAACCCCAGGGCCATAGTGCAGCTGAAAGAATTAGGCAAATTGAAAAAAAAAAAAAATCTGCATCATCAGGATTCTAATCCATGACCTTCCGGCTTGTAGCATAATGCCTCAACCAACTACGCTATGATGTGCCCCACTGAAAACAAGGCCACTAGATCCGTCGCAAGCCACTACCAAGCAACGGCTAGTGAAGACTGTAACAGACTCAAAGACCTAATGTGTCCTGTAGTGATGTGTGAAGTGTGCAGAACAGTGACAGCATAATTCTTACTTGTAGTTACGAGTTGTAAGAGTTCAATAAATCCCATTATCAATCGCAACCCCGTCTACAGTCACTAAGATCATTACAGTATTAAATGACTCTAACACAAATCAAATATTCTAAAGATCTCTTTCGTGAATCAAACGTGTGCTTACCTGCTCACACTGGTCCAAATCGATTTTGCCTTTGAGTTTTCTGCAGTTTCGGTCCGTGTAGTACTCGAGGAAATACTGACCAGGTAGTTCACCCGAATGGCGCAGCACAAACCACCTGCGCCTCCACCGCTGTAAACAAATATTTCACCAATAACCTTCTCATTATTTTGGATCTGGGGTTCTCACTGCAGTCAGTATCAAGATAACAGACTTCTGCGATGTGATTTTGTGTACTTCAGTAATAGAAAGCAACGTTTCAAAGGAACCTGCTGCCTCCATCTTCAGAACAGAGGATGAAGGTCGCAGGTACCTTCAAAACATTGATACACAGCTATTAAACTATGTGGCATTGCATGTAATTCTTCGGTCCTGAAGGTGGCAGTAGTTGGTTACTCTGAAACGGTTCTTTTCATGATTACCTGGACAGAGTTAGTGCCATAACAAGGCCTTTATATAGGGTCTTGATAGGAAGAAGCGTTATTTAATTAAGAATAGGAGACTTCAGCTATCTTCAGACTTTTTTAATTATCTCAAGAACCCTAATTGGGCTGGATGTAAAAAGTGTGTTCAATTTTTCTGTCTGCAACTATTGTTCGAAATATTTTTAGCTCTGATAAATATTTAGCAAACTACACTCAAGATACAAGATGAAAACACATGTAGGCCTTGATGTACACACATATCTGTTAAATGTATTCAGTTTTAACCAAAATTGGAACATATCAACCAATCTGTGTTAAAATTCACAAATATCAAATTCATGAAAATCCATTCTGGTCCTCATACTCTTTCATGCATACAGATGGAAGGACACAGCGACTTTAATTGGCACGTTGCAGAACCGCAAACAGGCTTAAAATATAACAGATGCAATTACACAGAATGGCAATACATGCTTCCATAAAATGGAGAACAATTAATTTATGTTTCATAATTTAAACTGTAACAGCATGTCTTTATCTGGCAGATAATGGCTCATTTCTGTTAACACTTTCAAGCCCAGTGGTTCCTATATGTAAAAACAATAGATGCAGTTATGTGGATTGGCAATGTATGTTTCAACACATACTGAGAGCATTAACTTATATTTCACAATTTCTATTGTAGTACACTGAAAGCATGGCCTTATCAGACAGTTCGTGTTCTCATTTCTTATTAGTTTATTAACCCTTTAAAGACTGAGTCTGAATCTTACGTTATGACTGATGGTCAGTCGGCCAGTCTGCCTTGGAATAAAGCACTCATCTGGGACTTAACGACCAGATTTTTATTACTGTTAAGACAACTGCCAGTTTGTTGATGTGGGGCTCTCTACCTGATGACAGGCGGGGTCTGTCCTTTACAATTGCTGTTGGCCCTTGCCCCCGCAGTTATTCTAGGGTCTGAGTCCCGAAGAACTCACGACCATATTCTGCTGTCTCATGATGATGGCTTTTAATAGCCGAAACATGTAGCTGAGCCAAACTAGGCATTGACCTTAATATAGTTGTGTTGTGACGGTTTTAATAAAGAAATTGATGTCTCAGATTTCGAGACTTCCCTTTTCGTCGCCTTTAAAGACTGAATTTCTTCCAAATACTATATAAAAATGCAGTTCGTACCTCACAGGAAACACACGTCACCCCTACAGACCCCAACTGGTTAATTCTGTTTTGGGATATAATCACTGTTTATTGTGAGAACTGTATGGAACAGAAAAATACACTGTGGGGGAACAATGTGTTGAAGCATGTGGGTCATATGGTAACCACTGAGCTTTAAAGGGTTGAGCCTTTCATGCCCAGAGGTTACAACAGTTATTCTCGGTCGCAGACACGTAATGCGTTCCCTGCGAGGTATGAACTGAGTCTGTATAAATTCTGCCCTGGACAGAACTAATGGGATTCCAAGTATGATTGGGAAATAAACAGATCTGACATGGAGAATAAGATGAGAAACGAACAAACAAGATTCCGAAATTTCACATAAAATTTTACTGCATCACCATCCATCAACGATCACTCTGCGGGGGAGGGGGGAATTTGAAAATTTCATGAAAGTTGCGCGGTCGGCTGTGAACTTCATTTGACCTCGTGGATTTAATCGTTGCCAGTTTCGATCTTTTCCGTCGGATGCTGAATATGGAGATATGTCTTGTACCATAGCGAACCTGTGCAATATCCCCCCCCCCGTGATTTGCGTCATAAAGATGAATATTGAAGCGTTCCATTTCAAAGCGTCAGTGCTGTAGAAATGATCGATTCATTGGCTCAGATTTTTATAATGATATTCATTGAATCCTGTAGCTATGCTACAGACACGGGGGCACGCGATAGCGTAGTTAGTTGAGGGGCTATGCTACAAGCCGGAAGGTCGCGGGTTCAAGTCTCGATGAGGTCATTGGATTTTTTTCAGTTGACCTAATCTTTCCGGCCGCACTAGGCCCTGGGGTTTACTCAGCCTCTAACAGAAATGAGTACCAGGAATTAATGAAATAATTTTCCTGGGGAGTAAAGCGCGGCCGGCGCGTAAGGCTGACAACCTTACCGCCATCTTTGAGCCGATTGTCTAGATAGTGTGGGACCCTCAACGTCTCACAACCCTATGGGCCTTAACGGCCTGGTAAAGGGATAGCTTTACTTTTTTACTTTCTACGCAGTTTTAATATCGGTAAAGATTAGATAAGCTGGTCACGGTAGCCGAGCAGTTTAAGGAATGTACTGTCTTCGCTCGCTTGGAAACCGGGATCGTGGGTTCGAATCCCACTCAGGGCATGGATGTTTAGTTTGTGTGTGTGCGTTTTTCTGTGTCTGTGCACAGGTAGAGGCCTTGCGACGAGCTGATCACCCGCCCAAGGAGTCCTACCGAATGTGTAAGATCTAGAAAAACCGAAGTGAACGGAGAAGTTCATGGAGGTAGGCCTAGGCCCACTGGGGCTGTAGTGCCAAGAGGAAAAAAGATTAGATAAAGTGACAGGAGGTTGGCGGAAACTGCATAATGAGGAGCTTCATAACTTGTACTCTTCTCCAAGTATATGTAGAATGATTAAGTCAAGAAGGATGAGATGGACAGGGCACGAATGGGGAGACGAGGAATGCATATAGGATATTGGTACGAAAGCCAGAAGGAAAGAGGCCACTGGGAGGACCAAGGCGTAGGCGTGGATCGTAGAGAGATAGGATGGGACGGTATGGGGCCGCATGCCCCTCCACGTTTTGTCCCACGTGAATTGATCACCTTAATAATGTACGGCGAAGAGTACAAATTATAAAGTTACAAATTGGCCGCGCCGTAGCTCAAGCGGTTAGTCGCTGGCTTCCCACCGCGGCGGCCCGGGTTCGATCCCGGGTCTGGTTAAGTGGGATTTGTGGTGGACAAAGTGGCGCTAGGACAGGTTTTCTCCAAGTACTTCGGTTTCCCCTGCCAATCTTCATTCCACCAACTGCTCCACAATCACCCTAACCTATTACCTGGGGCTGCTACAATAGGCCAGAAGTGGCCGCAGAAGAAGGGACTTAGTCCCACCTCACTAGCAAAAATTCCCGTTCCTTCTCTCCTCTGAGGTCCAAATATTTTCCTCAGCATTCTGTAGTCAAATGCCCCCACTCTGCGATCCTCCTTTAACTTTCTTTGATGTATCACTCATTGGCCTTCGTCTTTACTACGGCCTTTTTAGGTTTTACTTGGCCATCTTCATGCATTTGTTCACGTTTTGAAACGGTAGCACTGCAGTAGATCTAGAAGTCAATATATTTCTACGCTATTGCATTATCGTTGTTCACGCTAAAATATGTCTGTTTCAGAATAAAAACTCCCCGTTCCGCGTTATTCTCCTTTCGCGTCCATGTTTGTGCCCCATTCGTACGTATGTTTTCATTAGTTGAGCTATGCCCCTTGTTATTTTAAATTAGGGGGAGATTGTGAACATTTTAAAATCGCATTAAAGATCGAGGTGAATGGGTGATGCTTTATATTCCTGGTGCCTTTATAAAGGCAAAACCAAGAAAATATAACATGACTGTATTCAGTCCAACGATGCCACCAGGATTTTCTTTTTCATTTTGTTGGAGGGGGGAAGCCCTAAAATTCGCTTACAAATTCACGTTTACGTCATATACAAATATGTTTACTGGTCGCTCTAATGGATTCACGATAGAATAACAACACTCGCAGCTAGAAAGGGAACACACATCACAAGACACGGTTTACATAGAATATAAGAAAAACGACCCCCATAGCGGAAGAACCACATGCAAGTTTCAATTAAGACACATAAGAATAATAATCTTAACAAGTTTTAGTGTGTGTAAATTTATTATAGTTGACGAATACGCACTTTTTAAATAATTTTATAAAGACACATAATGACAAGCAATGCAACAGATTAGCGTAATTAGGGCACCTCATGATGACACTATGTTGCCGAAACATGTCGTGAAGTAACAGGTGAAACTGAGTGCACTACAAGACGGCCACTGTATACATATCATGGATGAATAACAATTTCTTGAAATACCTTTAATGTTTTGTAGTAAGGTATCGTATAATGCAGTCTTTCAATTTTTATTCTTTCTTGTTCTTAAATCCGGAAGGGGGCTGGTTGTCATCTTAACTTATTCCCCAATCCTGTCAGACCCTATGATTCAACCTTGCCCCCCCCCTTCTTGAAGCAAACAGTTTTCTGCCTTTGATAGGGAGATAAGTGAAGTGGATGTACCATATTACATAAGGAAATCGGTACCCTTTCCCAATGAGTCATTTTGCTTCAGTTCTTGATAACCATACTTTGTGCTTTTTTCAAGATGTTATAACACATGCTCAGCGCAGACAGACGCCTCTGTGCGCATAATCGTCAAAACATACAAGTCACGTCATACTTAACGGATAAAACTGTCAGAAGAGAATTCAGATAAACTAGCTGAATTATCTGGTACAGGCTTATGTCAAAAACATCTTAAGAGGATGCGTCGTTATCACACAGCGACGCAGAGCGTTAGAAAGTCAGTAAATTCTCAACACACGATGTGAAACAAAATTGCCCTGACCGGATATATCGTTGTACATACAAGACTCTTTCTTAAGGTAACTCTCCTGAATGTATGGCGTAATAGGAAATATGTTTTAAACAAAGTTTGTTACAGCATGTGCCT